ATTCTGCTCCTCTAAGGGTTGCTTAGCTTTTCAGGGAATTTAAGAATATTAAGATAGGAATCGCTGCAAAATTGAAATATTAAGATTTTTCTCATCCAAAAAAAGCGTTTTCTCGAATCGCTAGAATTTTTAGATCAATTTTCGAAGCCCAAAATTTGCATATTCTCTTTCCCAGCCTCATGGGGTGTCAATCTACGCATAATTAGCATCTCAAAATTGCACATTCAAAGCTAAAAAAAGCGTTTTCCAGCAACTCCAGAATCGAATTTTTAGCTAATTTCTAAAATTTACACAATTTGCATATTGCCTCCATAACCCCTTTAACAATACCCAAAAGTAAGATACCAAATTTTACCGTCGTCCTGGCTCATCCTTGCTCTACTTTTCCCCTAATTACAACCCAACACCCATGCTCCCCAATAGGTGAGCCCCAGATCCGCCAGGATGCATTAGCAAGTTCCATCCTCTATTTCTGTCCCTCTCTGTGTCGAATTGGAGGCCAGACATTATAATAAGGGCTGGTGTGTTGGTTGGGGGGTGGGTTGAGGTCGGGTAGGGGGGGAGGACCTCTCATTCTCCTCTTCACGGCTCGTGTAATTGCACCGCAAACACGGCCCGGCTATTCATTTCCACCCGCCCTCCCCCCTCCCCGCTCCGACCCCCGGAGCGACAGCATACTGGTCACAACCTTCCCAACCTCCCACCAACCCTCCTCTACCTCCTCTTCTACCTCCCCCCTTGTCCACCCTCACACCTGCCCTAACCTCTTCCTCACTAGACACGGCCTAGCCTCACTCCTTTCAACACATATATTCTGGTAGGGAAAGAAACAGAGCTACTCTGTCTTGCTCAACTGCCTTGCTCAAATGGATACCTACACCTTGACTGCCAACAGCTAGATTCTATATTTTTTGATCTGAATTTTTGCAGCGACAACTTTATTGATATTTTTGGGTACAAAATACAGCCACAGTTTGCAATTTTAGGTACTCTAACGCTCTTAAAGGCATGCCTTAGCTTCGATGACAACGTACGACGTGATTTTGCTAGGGCTACAAAGTACAAGTTCAGGTCAAGCTTTGAGGTATTGAAAGTGCCTTAAAATCCAGCCAATTCGAGACTTTACGTTTGACTACAAAGTGCCAACTTTATTTATAATTCTTGAGGTACTGAAACTTCTTCAAAATAGAGAGATAATACTATGTTTCGCTTTCCACTAGAAACTACAACTTAACCATACGTTGAGGTATATGGTTTTTTAAAATCGAGTTTTTTAAGCGACCTAGACCAGATACGAAACCAAGATTTCACTTCCGGTTAGAATAATGACCCTTCCTGAATTTTTAAAATTTTTCCTTCCAGGAATTTTAAAAACCACCCCATTGTCCATGTTTTCCAAGCTTTCCCTACGCACCCGTTTCTGAGCAGCCAGACATCCTTGTTTTCGCAGAATTTGCAAATTACAAAGTGGGATTCAGGAAAAGGACATTTTTCGATGCCCTTGTTAACTCGGTTACTGTATTTTGCAGGGTGTCTAGATGGTTTTAAAGATATTTTTAGACATTTGCTGTTATTTGAGCTTTGGGAATTTACAAAATTGTTTCGAATAATATTCTGACCATCTATTCAATGCTGAATCATCAGTAAATATCGTAGGTGAGAGGGGGGTGTAGAGGGTGTCGTCTGCCAGTGTGACAAGCAAACATCTCGCGGGCCTTTAAGCTGGTCGCCCATGGTCCATCCCCCCCGCCTCCCGCGTTCGATTTGGTGCTAAATAGGGGGGATGGGCGGCCTAGGGGGGGAGGGTGTCTAAACACCGACTGTATTAGCATATTCCTGGTTTATTTGTTGTGGTTTTGGGCTTGGTTCGGCAGTATTCGGCGTGAATTTGCATCTGGAATTTGATTTTTAGAAAATTGGATGGGAATTCGGCGTATTCGGCGTTTTTAAAAACTTTCGGCATTTGCAGGAAGTTTTTAATTTTAACAAACTGGCTTATTTTTATACTTAGAATTGAATCCTATAGCTAAAGCATATTATGTATGGGTTTTGGAGATTTGCATATAAAATCCGTTTGATTTTGACAGTAGTAGGCCATGATTTGCATCTAAAATTTCAGTTTGAGATAAATCGCTAGAATTCAGGAGTTTTTATACGTATAAAAATATAATTCCCTGGTTTCAGCTTTGAGAGTCGTGTTTTGCGCAATGGAATTTGCAAACGTGGCACTTTCGAAATCATGCTAAACCACAAAAATACTAATTTTTATGTTTATAGTATTTTAAAACCAAAATTCCGATTTTTCCATTGAGTACGATACCAAAATTCTCCAGCTCCTTCCCACCTCTTGAATCATCAAATCCATTCCCCCTCAAAATCCTCATAGCCACAAGCCCTCGCGGTACAATTGGCCAGGGGGGGAGTCGTGCTCCAAACTGGCTCCCCCTCCCCCACCATGTCCACCACCACCCATCCAGAGGACAACCCGTGGAAAAGAGCCCTAAAAGTTGAATGCCAGTTGCCCCGGCCTCGCCAGGTCGGCGCATTGCGAAATTGGGCAATTTCCAATACATATCGGCTCGCCCGTGTTGGCCAGGGCGGCCCGGCAGGATCGATCAACGGCGCCGATTATTTGCCTGTTTATCCCCCCTTTCCCCCGGTGCACCACACGCCTATGTATGTCTCGTTCCAGATATATATGCCCTGGTATTGAAGCGCCGGTTCAGGCTCCTCCTCCCCTTCCCCCTCCTCCCTGGGGCCAGGTGAGCAAAGTATTCAGGTGTGGGTGGGCCTCGGGTCTCGTCCCTCCACATACACACACGGCTGACCACCCACCACAGCCATCCCCAAACAAAACCCCACGGCTCTTCCCCTATTCCTGTGTTGGGCATTGGCTAGAGGCTGGCGGGATGACCCTTATATTTGGGGTTTAGGATGGAGCTCATTGTCCTTAGGCTTAGGCTTGGGCTTAGGCTTAGGCTTAGGTTTAGTTTTAGGTCGGGCTTAGGTTGGGCTTAGGCTTAGGCTTAGGCCTAGGCTTAGGCTTAGACTTAGGCTTAGGCTTAGGCCTAAGCTTAGGCATGACCTGAGGTTAGGCTTGGGCTAAGGTTGGGCTTAGGCTTCACCGAGCTTACTATCGCTGTTCAGCATTTTTCGCTTTTCCGATCGCCAGAAGCTTAAAATACTCCTTTTCTCATCAGCTAAAGCCTAAAACTCACCACCACTACGCTACAACCCTCTTTCCACCTCTAACTCCTTATTCCCAACCTCATCCTCCCCAACCTACTCCAACCAGGGTTCGCGGCTGGCCTTTAGCTCAGCCTTGACATTGAAGGTGAGCAAAGATTCAGACGTGGATCTCGGTTGCGAGGCTTGTCCCCTCCCCTCCTCCTCCTTCTCCTCCTTCTCCTTCTCCTTCTCCTCCCTTCACGGGTCCCCATAATTGTATTTCCTTATTATGTGCTCGCCATTCCGCTCCGCCGATCCCCCCCGGCGGGCGTCGTTCTCATTCTCCTCCTCAGGACACTAGCCCTCCTCCCCTCCCTGTCCCTCTTTCCTCGGAGGAATCCACCCGAGACCCGCTTCTGGACTTTCGCTCAACCTTATCTTAGAAGGTGAGCAAAGATTCAGGTGTGGATTTCGGTGTGGGTATGTAGAGACGAGTTGGATATTGGTTTTTCGGCCATATTCGGTAAGCAAAGCGCACAATTTATTCTTCGATTGCTTGCTTACTATACCACACAAGCTATTTTTGAGCATTTTATCATTAATGCATGGTTATTTGGGTTTTTATCTCGATAAAAAGCCAAAAACTTGGTTAATATGGAAATATTGAGGAAGTTAAAAGCTATGGGGGAGCCTTTTTGGGGTTTATAGGAACGGAAAAGCCTCAATATTCAAATAACACTACGTGTGACGCCAAATGACATATGCAGAGATAGATCACCGATTTTCTTATAGTTTGCCCTTAGAAACTACATAGATAAGGCGCCATTTGGTGCGTAATGTAGCTGTAGATTTCCATTCTGGCGCTTTCACATTTGAGAGGGGAGGGATACCTAGCTCTGCATGGTGCGTGCGTCAATTCCCTGCGTATGTTCACCTTAAAGGGGCTCCGAAATCTGGTCCACGGCCCCCTGCTGTGATTCCTGGCAAATAGCCAGATGCCGCCGCAACGCGACCGCGCCGCCTAGTCTTTTGCCCCTGTTTGGACGCGAAAACGCTTGAATTAAAAAATTCTGACGCTAATTTTGGAATCTTCACCGAATTTTGATCATTCCAGACTTTTAAATTATGAAAATTGACCAGGGAATCGCCGAGATCGAGAGATTGGGTGTCTTACAAGGCATTACGACAGGTAATCGCCGCGCACTCAAAATGTCGTTTCCGCCCCAGAAAGAATCCGGATTTTCTCAAATATTTTACGTTTTTTCGCAATTAAATCACTTTTCTGGCACTTCTCGGCAGTGACCCTTGCGTTCTTTGACCAGTAGGTTCAATCCCCGCACGCACTAATTTTGACTTCTGAGCCCCTTTAAACATGATTTATAAGATTTTATGTAGATTCTTACGACCCAACTCCAGCCCTCCGAGTTATACAATCCAGATCAATCCCAACCTCCAAGCCATCAAGCCGACAATTTGCGACACCACCACCCTGGTTACCCACCAAATTGCCGTCGCTCGCCTTCCGGCCCCCCAGTTGACGCCCGTAAATTCGGGTAGGGGCAGCTAATTAAACTGGTCCACTGCCTCTTCATCGTGGATATCTAGCCACCGGGTATCACGCTCCAGTAATTCCACCCTGCACAGCTAGGGTCAATTTTATGGTAATTTTTTCGGGGGCTGAGAGGTGCTGTTGGGGGTATGCTATTGGTCACCATGGTGATTCTGGCAACGAGATGCTAGGGTCGAGCGCGCAGCTGCGAAATTGCGTTTGCTGTACAAATTCCTCGTATTAATCAGCTAATTTTTGTTTTTCTTCTGGTGCCGCTAGTATTATGGCGGAGACAGATGGCGATTTACGGGTAATTTTGTTGCGGTAATTTGGGCCAGGTTGGGTTCCGGAAATGGAATTATGCATTTTTGCGTTAGGTGCTGGTCTTTCGAAGTGAAGTCGCTCTTTTTGAGCTTCTGCTTTGGGAGACAAAATATTCAGCTGCTCGGAAAGTTTTAAGAAAATGGAGCGTCGCTTTTTAAAATACATTTTAAAGAGGAAACAGCTAATGCACAAAAGAATTCCGGTGTTTGGGTTATTTTTAAGACTTTTTAACTCGTTTCAGATCTTAAAAACTAAAAATCGCGTTTTCCAGTTGATCTTTAGAAGAACAACGATGTATCTTGCTGGGAAACCTTTAGCAAATGCAGACACAATTTCTGAATGCATATTTAAAGAGCAACCATCGATACAAGGGTTCCTATCTAAAATTTAACGAATCTGGTCTCTCCCAAACCAAAAACACTCGATTTCCACAAAAACTAGAATCCTTTTGCACTCTATTTTTTTAGGAAAGCGCAGCTGTGCACATCCAATACTGGTGGCGCAAATGGTCGGCCCAAAAGGAGATGGCCCCCCAAAAGTAAGGGTCCAGCTGGCATTTTATACTTTCCAGGCTCGCCCAAATCTCATTGACCAACAGAGATCTCCTGAAACAGTTGGATGAGCTGCATAGATCTAAAGTAAAATCGGAAGATCTTCGATACGTTAAAATTCAGCTCTCAATAATCCATAAATATGAGATGATGCTCAATCTACCGGCGGGGGAGATAAATGCGTATTTGGAAGAGACAAATGGGGATAAGACTGTAGTACCGGAAGCTAGGTAAGCTTTTGCTTTCGCTTGACGCTTCAACATCAGGACCTCAATCTACAATGAATATGAAATAAATCGAAGAGACCAAGCTGCCAGAACCATACAAAGAAATGTAAATTCAACCCATATGCTAATTTTTACATTTTTTAGATCGGGGCATACCAACTCCGGACAAACGTTAAAAAATGGGAAAAGCGACTGGCATGTCCGGAAAGTGTCCCTAAACGAATCGCACTTATCAATCGAATAACTGAAAGAATTGCCGAAACACCAGCTGTGCGAAGTCAAAATCTTCCGAGGGTTAAAGCCAAAGTACGCTACATTAATTTTAAGTACGCTCTTTTTTAGCTCGCCAAACATGAAGAAAATCAAGCAAAGAACTACGAGTTTTGTGCAAAGCTCGAAAAGTCTACCCGGAATTTGAATAATCTGGCATTAGCCATAGAAGGTATAAAAATCGAGACCTCACATCCAAACCGGGAATTTAGGTATTCTACCAAATCTGGATCACGATCACGCCCCACTTTCCTTACTTCACACTTCCGCCCTCGCAAAAACCAAGGCCCACTTCAAACACGAAGCCGATATGGAAACGATTTATGATAGAATATATTTTTAATGCATTGTCAGGCCGGGGCTTTTGGTCTCCGTTCCGGCATCTCGTCAGGGAGAGCCTTGCCTTTTGTCTCTTTTAGAGTTATCGAAAAAAATTAATAGACTTTCGTTTCTTGATCATTACCTGGAATAAAATCACATCAATAAATCCGACAACGCCTAAGAGAAGATATGGCGCTCCGCGTATCCCAACATCCTGCAAATTCGATTTTTTTTTGAGACTTCTATCGTACCATAGAGAAGAGCAAAGGCCCAAAAACGCTCCCCAATCTGCCACAAACATTAGCATTTGCATTTGCGAGATTTCGAATAGGAGTCGGGAATTGCTCGGCAACCGCCAGCGCCATCTAGGATTTCGCCTTTTTCACCCACTACCACGTTCTTTACCTGCAAGAAAATGCATCCCGTAATGCCAAAGGCGATTAGCGTGCAAATTTGCACGAGTAGAGGATAGTCGGGTTTCCATCCTAAGTTTGTTATAATCTCAAGGCATGAAAATTACCATTAAAAACGACGAAGAACAATATGATAAAGCAGGCGACGACCGCGCCCACCGTCACAAAATGAAGCAACTTCCGGCCGACCCGGACGCCGCCAAAGTGGTCGGCAAACGCAACCTGATATCAAGATGGGGATTTAGGCCTGGGCACTCAATTTCCAGGAAACTATGCTTTGAATGCAATAATGGAGGGATGGTAGCTTTAGTATATTTAAGGGTGATATTCATAGTTTTTAAAGGAACGAGTATTTAAGCCTAAGCCTAGGCCTAAACCTAATGCAAAATCCATACCACAGCTCCAATCGCCCATCGCAATAGCCCACTAGCCGCCACATTCAAAAACAGCGATCCCGGAATAACATGCAAATTAAAAAGCAGCGCATATGTTGTAAGCGAAACGGAGAATCTAAAAAAATTGTTGCGTGTTCTTTTGTAGTGAACGCTACAATCCAAATGACGTGACGGCCGTCAATCTGGCGATTGAAGCAGGGCGATATAAGTCAAGGAAGGAGTATCTGAAAAATCATTTTTCGTTTTTTTTTCTAAATTTTTACACGTTTTACGCAAAGATTTGAGAACTAGGGCACGCCTGGCTTGCACGTGAATAAAAACCTAAGCAGATTAAGGTGCCACCCAGCCGGTTTTCATGTGATAAGACTCAGAAAGGTCAAAAACTTACTTTTTCGTTGTGAGCTTCTTCTTGTCAAGCAAGGCTTCGGTCGCCTCGTCTCCCCCTGTTTCTTTGTGTACAATCGCGATAATTTGGCTATGAGGAACCTAAATTACGCATTGAAAAATGTTCATGGGGCGTGAAGCCAGTTTTAAGAGACGAGATGAAGTGTTGAAAAGCTCTTCCGGGTCAAGCGGTCACTTTAGATAAGCCATATACAAAAAGTGGTACCCTGTTCTTTGGCGCTTTCCATTTATTAATATTGGTGAGCGCCTTGATAGCCTCTTCTCGCTTCCGTTGCTGGACGTAAAATTTAGGGCTTTCTTCGAGGCAGCTAAGGTTGAAAGAAAACTTATGTATTTAATTAATTACTTACAATACGAGGACCAAGATTCCGAAAACCGAAATCCCATTGCATACTCGACTAAGCAGCCGCCATTCACGGGTGAAATACGCGATTAATGAAAGAATCATGAAATTCGGACCCCAGGTAACAACTATAAAGATTCAATTAAATTTGTAAATGAAAACCGGTAGCAATCCACATTCTATGAGCTGCTGGCAGGCATTCAAGCACAAAAATTGGGCCAACACTAAAAAAGCTACGTTTAAATAGGTTAGATCTCACGTCGTTAGTGCTCCAATAAAAATTCCAATAAAGAAACGACAAAGCACATAAAAATCGATAGAAGGGGAGAATGAGAGAATCGTGGAGAATATGCAAATTAGGATCATGGAGGCTAGGAGCACCTGAAAGATGCGGAAATTCGGATTTTAACCGCCAAAAACTACCTTTCTTCTACCGTAGGAATCACTCAATTGGCCAGCCACAGCCGCCCCTACCATCAGGCCGACCATTTGGATTGTGGTACTAAATATGCAAATTTTTTGTAACTTAATCCTAATTTTCTTTCCACATTTTGAGGTTTTGGAGCGTGCAGGCGTTGTTTTAAGTAGCCTACAAGATCCTCCAATTTTTTTTAGTATTTTTTTCCAAAGAAATGTCCTTCAACGGTAATTCCAGATAACTTCCACTCCGAAATTCCCCCTTTGAACCGTGGATTTTGGCCTCTTATCAAGCGGTCAGCCCGGTGTTGAGCCTGGCAGTCGCCGGCAGCCCCAGGTCGCAGCTTCCCCCCAAATATAGCGGAAAATTGAAGGTACCTGAACACCGATTTATCCTTGATCCCGAGGTTCTCGATAATCTTGTCCAAAAACGTGTAATCACGACGGTGGCAAAGTTGTTGGAACTAAAGCAAAAACCTTAAAGGTAGATAGGAACTTACCTCAATGGTAGCACTATAAAATTCATACTTTAACATCGGCTCTTTGCAAGTGAGATCAGCATCGTAGATAGCGCACAAACCGGCCTGGATTCCAATTATTTCTTGTTTTTAAGGTAAAATTTATACCTTTGTAGTGGCATTATACTTCACATTATCGCAGCCAACTAGCGTTGGAGGCGCTACCCCAAAAACGTTGAAAGCCTAATTTACATACAATTTTTATTGCTTATACGTCACTCACCTGGTTGCTGAGGATCATAAAAATCAACAGCTCATTATACAACAGCATTAACAGCTGATATTTGTCGAGCTGGAAAAAGTCGTCAACTCTTGACACCTTGATCGGCATATCTGAAATTAGCATACAGCGATATTAGCATAATTTAGTCGTCAGAATCTCCAAAATCCTCACATATTTGGCCGAAACTCTCAGCCGGCTGTAACATCCTTTATCTAGCTCAGCTGACCGGTGGTGCCCCTCGGAATTCGGGTCTAAATCGATGCCCAAATTGACAGATACTCGTCACAAGGTAGCTAACAAACGGCCAGACACCCCGTATCAACTTTCACAAGCAATAAAATGCAATGAATGGCGCGGGTTGAAGCTGGGGGGTGAAGTTGAACTAAACCGGACGGAATTGAGGCCCTGAGGGGAGGAAGAAGAAACTGTTATCAGTGGACTCGGGTCGGGGCTGTTCTGCGGTCCGCGCATAATCGCCAGCGATCAGCTTGTGCACTCAAGGCGGGGTAGTGGGGAATTTTGGAATGGCCAAGGGCTTTCATTTCTTGATTAGGAAAGGAAAAGCCGGAGGAATAGAGAGGAGGGGTTTTGGAAAGTAATAATTTGCGTGTGCGATAACTTTCGAGGATTTTTATAATCGAAACGTATGTAAGGCATCTTAAATCCAAGTGGCGCTTCTTTTATGTAAAAGTTAGATTCATAATTTCTAAATTTACATTCTTTAAAGAGGCGAGAAAATTTGTTGCTATTTATAGAGTCACTAAGACTTTTCCCGGTGCTCGCGAAACGCGACAACTTTTTCAAGGTACCCAAGATAACTTAACAACTAGCAAAAACGCAGTAACGAAAATTTTTGAACGAAATGTTGACCGCTAACTGGTTCCCCATCCCTTATCTTACCTTCTGACCGATACCATACAACTGGCATTTCAGGCTAATAAATCAGCCCTCCAGATTTTGACGCTGAAATGACGATTGTGTTCGTGGAAACTAACGGAATTTTGGAAAAGCATGATAAATTCCACAACTTTCCGCTAGGTGACGATCTACGCAAAAATTTCCCTTTTTTGTTGTGCCCCCAATTCCCGATAATTCAAAATCGCCATCCAGCTTTATTCAGACAACAAAATCACAATGCAAAAAACAACATGAAACAGCCTAAAACAAACGCTATGCAAATTAATATCATAAACTACGAAAATGAGGGGGGTTTGAGCCTCGAAGTATCTGGAGAAGCGAAACGTTTATGCCAACTCGCAGGTAGCCCCGACCTGAAATTATCGTTTTGAAATCTTTTTTCACGATTTAATCACCTTTTCCAATGCGGCCTTCAACTCCTCTGCTTCCGCCTTACCCATATCTTCCTTCACCGTCACCGGGGCCGTTTCCACAAACTAAAAATGGCATGGGTACTAAAATTAAGTTTTATCAAACCTTTTTCGCTTGCACCAAGTTAAGCCCGGGCACGATCGTTCTAATCTCCTTGATGAGGGCAATCTTTTGCGCGTCGTTGAACTAAATAAAGTGTCAAATATCGCGTTTCCTCCCTACCTTGGTCAGCTTGACGGCAAAGGTCATTTTCTGCGGTGCATCTGATGCGGCTGCTTCGTCAGCGGCTTAAAAAGTTGGAAATAAGTTTCTTTCTTTTTAATATGACTTAATTTTGTGTGTATTTTTAAATGTAAAAACCTACCAGCAGCAGCGGGCGCGGGTGCGGCCATCGCCATTCCGCTCATCATTCCCATTGGGACGTCAGGAAGGTTCAGCTTCTTCTTCAGCGCCCAATTCAGGTCAGACACCTGAAATTACTCTAATTTTAACTTTTTCTTTCCCTACCTCTAGGATACTCAATCCAGAGATCTCGTCAACCAATTGTTGCACCTTAGAAGACACTGAACGATCCTGATGTGGCAGAGCGGCTGAGGATCCCTCTTTTAGAGGTAGAGCTAGTATTTTGTAGTTATTTTTATTTTTGGGGGTTACCAGCTTCTGCCGAGGCGAACCGGAAGGACGCAAAGCATTTGCTGACTGTAAAGGCTCGTCGGAGAAGCATTGCTAAAACACGGATTTTCTATATTTTGTCAATATCTATTGGAAAAGATAAATAGCAAAATATTGCTAAATCTTGCGTAGATAGTCAAGCTTAAGCTATAAACCTAACGTGAAGCCTCGAGAATAAAATTCCAAGCCTCCGCCACAGCAGGCTATAAACCACAATCTCTGCCGTAAATAGTGTCCCAGCGTACCCACTGATCTCCCCCAATCACTCGATTTAATGTATGGAAATCGAATACCAAATGAAAGACTTTATTTATAAGGCACCGAGGCAAATGCACATCAATTCTGACTATAATGTATAAAAGGTGCGAGATCATGTGTAACATACACACTAGTTGACGGCAAACAAAAACGAGCAGACGAGTAATGATCAGACAAGCTAGCGATTAGCAAACGTACTTCAATTACATAATTTGGTCTAGTGGGCGGGGAGTGGGAGACGTCGAGGTTCAACTTCAGCGTTAGGCTCGGGCTCCTGGCGCGCTCGTTTCGGGCGGGGAGCATTGGCGAATAGAAGATCACGCGAGTAGTGGAATCCGCGGTTGACCCAGTGGCCGTAGATGCCGAAGACAGCGCTTTCCGCTTCATGCCGAATCTGAAAAAAGGAGAATTAAAGTGCTCTCAAAATTCTAAGCTACCTCGCGGTCGCGGAACGGCCGTGTTTTGATGGCTTCACGATCAATTTCTTGGCCGAAGCGCTGGTAATTTTTCAGACGGATGAAAAAGCGGACCCAGATGATGGCATGGCGGAAGACGCGCTTCGGGTCATTTTTCTAAACAAAGATTTAAGCTTATGAAAGGTCAAAATACCCTAGTTTCACGCTGTGCTTCAACGGCTGCTTCACCAACACCGACCATCCAGGGATGAGCTAACGCTGCATTGGCATCCAATCGTTTTGATACGTCCACCGTAAGAAGGCCAGATACCTAATAACGCAATTAGTATAATTAATACTAGCGAACCAGATCTATACACTCTTTCGTGATGGAGCTCCATTGCTCTGGCCGGAATTCGTATTTTCCTTCTTGAATCATCCGGATCATCATCAATTGTCTTCGATGATAGAAAGGGGCGTAGCCTTAGAAAATCATTAGTTTTCGATAAAAACGGGTTGGTACCGGCAAGAAGTGTGTACATAGTCACACCGAGGGCCCACATGTCGACTGCGAAGCCATATCCCTCAGTACCTTCATACATCTGGCAGCGGAGAGTTTCCGGCGCCAAATATCCCGGGGTGCCGTAGAGATCTAAAAAATATTGTGTTTAGTTTGCCAATAACCTAAAATGTCCTTCCCGTGATTTCTGAGCTCTCGTGGGGCTTCAATAAAAATATATAGGCATTTGTCCGCACTATGTGCCGTTTTTAAATATAAACATATTATAAAAACGTTTAAAATGTTACACAAAACTTAAATTTGTCAAAAAACTGTCTAAAAATGGGCCAAAAATTAAGCATAAACGTCAATTTTCAATGCACCATAAAAATTTTAATAATTTTTCAAAGTTTTCAACAGTTCCCCTCACCTTTCAACAGCTTTCCCGGCGGCAAATGCACAGCAAACCCAAAATCCGAGATGACAACGCGCTCGTCGTCTATGCACAGGATATTTTCGAGCTTCAGATCCCGATGGACGATTTGATGATCGTGCATATACTTCACCCCGTCCAACAGTTGCTTCATCAACCTTCGCGCCTAACAAAATTTGTTTTAAAACTTGAACGATTTACCTTTTTCTCCGTCACCGTTACGCATTGGTTGAGGTAATCAAAGAGTTCGCCCCTCGGCGCCATTTCAAAGACCGTGAAGAGGAATGAAGGGTCTCGAAGAAGTCGTGGATCGCAACTGAAAAAGAAAGATCCGTGTTAAGAACACAAACAAACTGATAGAAGGATGTCCAGCCAATTCTCGCAAAATCCGGACCTCCGAGAGTGTTTCCTTCGCTAGGCGTTCTCCTTCCTTGTCATCGCTGGCGATGTCGACTATTTTCACGGCGAAGCTAGTACTGGTACCCTTCTCAACACATCTTCTCACGACTGATGATATCCCGGTACCGAGAATCTGGAAATGAACGATTTTCCATTATAAATCTGTCTCAGGGATGGAAATAAAGAAGAAAATTTCTATATTCTCACCTCCTTAACCTCATACGAGCTGTAGAAACCGCGGTCCTCGTCTGGAGAACCGTAGTTCTCCTCCTCACTCTTCTCGGTCATTTACCCTGAAACAAAAAAAGGTTTACACGCAATGAAATGAAGAAAACAATCGGAATAGCAACGTTGGAAAAGAAGCAAAAAAGCACAGAAGAAAAGAAGCGCTTATATTGGGAGATCAAATCTGAGATGTTATAAATGAAAATGACTATTATAAAGGGCAATTAGCCAAGTCAGAGGGTTCGCACGATAACATTTGCCAAGTAAATAATGTTTAATGCTAAAAATTAGGTGAAAATAGGCATAAATACGTCCTAATCAGAAAACTAACGTATTAAAGCAAACTTAGAAGCAAAATGAGTTATTATAGCTCTAAACTACGCAGAGTCTGTTATGTGATTATAAAGTGCGAATCGTGCGTCAATCGCTAATTGCTCTACAAAGCAGATTCCTAAGGGCTGAAACAAGATGAAGGAGGAAGCTTTCGTTTTTCTGATGCCCCATGACAAGCATGAAGCCGAACTTACGCGAGTGAAAGCGCAGTGTAGGGGCGCATTTCGTAGCCGAACGAGAAAACACCTGCGAAAACGATAAGAATTCGGGAAGTTAGAGCGTTCGACTAAATTGGAAAATTCGAGCATTCGAGCGGGTTTGAAGTTTGAGAAATTTTTTAAAATGCGAGAAGTGATATCAACCAGAAATCGGCGTTTTTGCAAGCATAGTGGGAAACATCCATGATCTGATTCACGCAACCACAGTCATCCAAACAAATAATTTATTCTCCCTTATACGAATGCCGATAAATAAACGCCGAAATGAATTCACATATAAATCAAAAATATTACTACGACCAAATCTTTCCAAATCACATATATTGGCTAATCTAACTGGCAAAAATCGTCAAAATTTTTCCGGTAAAAAAGATAGCTAAAACAACCCAGCTAAAGAGGTGCCATATGTAATCGGGGGAACATCAGGATGTGGGACCGCGGAGAAGGAGGTGGCGTGGGGGTCAGATTTGGAGCTTGCAGCGTCAGGAAGGCGCCCTGAAAGCAGTTATAACTCAGCAACGACCTCCAACCTGATTGTTCGTTCCGCAGTAGTTCGGCGCCGAGAATATGGTGTGCAACCAGCCGCTGTGCTGTTTCTGGTAGCCTGTCGGCTTGAGCTCGTGGGAGCTAAAATTACATGTTTCTAGGGACAATTTCCATATGCTCGCGGATAGTCATCAATAATCGGGAAAAAGCTTACCGCACTATGTAACGGAGGCTATTTTCGCGACAAAATCGCTGGCTGATGTCGGGGCCGAACTGACATCCGAGACCTCGCCTCGACGGGTTGCGACCACGGTGCGGCTGTGGATCCGACCTAAATTTTTCAATACTTCAAATTTTCTTTTGCAAAGTGAAACAATTTTCTTTTTTCTTTCTTTTTCTTTTCTTTCAAATCCCTACCAAAGCAAGTCACACATAATACCCTCATCAGGCGGCTGGCGGACTCGATCAGTATTACGGATGTCGTCCAACGTGACTCCGTCTTGGTTGAAGAGCCCTCCGTGACAGACCTAAAGACGAGGTGGAAAACGAACCTAAAAACACTTACAAAGACTTTCTCGTTGATAAGATGACACAACGGAAGATGGCAAAACACCCTGGAGAAGATGCTGGCCACATCCTCTGACAACTTGTACTTCACCTCACCTTCGAAGCCGTACATCTAAAATGGTTATAGAACGTTTCCGCTATGCATACCTTGTTCATCGTATCACTCTCGTGGTTACCACGAGACAAGTAGAAGTGATTCGGGTAGAGGAGCTTGTACGCAAAGAGCGTGAAAATCGTCTCGACCGAGAAGGCGCCACGATCAACGAAATCACCATTGAATAACTAAAGAACAAATTATTATAGAATTAAAAAATTTACGTAAGGATTCTCCTCGCTGGGAAGTCCATTAATCTCAAAAATGTTCAATAGATCATAGAACTGCCCGTGAATGTCGCCGCAGATCGTAAACTAAATTGGGCATAAAAAAGATATAAGTGTTGAAACCTTATCGCCGTCGGCAACTTTAATATCGAGTAGCGTTGGTTGCGTCTTGAGGAACTCGTAAATATGGAAAAGTATCTAAAACGCATTCTGTTACATTCGGATCAGAAAATCTATCGTTACCTTGTAAGCATATTTTTTGTGCAGCGCTTGTTGCTTCTTGAAATGGTTCGTCATTTCCGTCACAAAATCGGCGGTGAGATCACCTTCCCAACGAGGGCCTTGATACTTTGCGTCGACAACTAAAAAAATTGATGAAAAAATAAATAAAACAATTACGGATAGACTCGTAGCCGATTACGTCGAAGTCGACCTTGTGCTCATCCGTGCTGATCGCCGCTTCAAATGCTTGTCGTTTTACGATACGGGAGCACTCAGTGTGCTTGGCGGCTGCGTCCGTGTCCTTAGGCCGCGTCTAAACGAACAACTTAAAAACCTGAAAGAACGGCAAACCTTTATCACAGTTTCCAGGTCCTTGAGCGCCTTTTTGTATTTACCCAGTGCCATGTAGGCAGATGCTCGCCGATAAAAAGCCTTCAAGTAGGCCTTGTCGAGACTCAAAGCGAGGTTGCAGTCCTCGATGGCTTTTCCGTAGTAACCCTAAGCAACGGTTATTATTTACAAGTTGCCGAAAACTCACGATTTGATAGTTGGCGGTAGCTCGATTTGTGTATAGCGTGGCCGAAGGCTTGAAGTTTATTGCGGCTGAATACAGCCCTGCGGCGTGCTCCAAGCGCCCCGCTGAAAAAGCGATTGTGAATGATGTATTGCCACAAAAATACAATAGCATCGGCTTCAAATCCTTACCGTTGAAGAATGCTCGTTGCCAGCCTCTTTGATATTGGCCGCCTGCTCACCAAAAGTTTTCCCCAAGGGCACTTTTGCCAGCGCTTTCGTTATTTCCTCGGCTACATTCGTCATGCCTGAAGTCAAGCGGTTCATGGGAGAACATAGAAAGGAAAACAGACAACGAAAAAAATTTCGAGCAGGATAAAGCCATTCTTTTTTGAGCACTAATTTTGTGCATGAAGAAATGTTGAAAAATCAGCGGAAAAAACCTCACGATTTTCGCTCCTATAGACGCAACAATGTCTAAGGGGTAAAAATTGTAGGCGTGATGTTTTATAACTAAAACCCTTCCAAAAGGCCAATTACAAAGTCTTAGTGTCAACGGTGCTGCTCTAATGACACCAAGAAATTCCAGAAAGTCCTTTGGTTTGTTGTGAAAAATTTGTCGAGAGTATCATTTGGGAGGACCCTCTTGCCTTCGTTGGTAGGATTCGAAGCGTAAAATGTTACTCTACGATCTTTCATGTAGAGTTAAGAAAATTTAGTCCGTTTGGAAAAAACAACGCTTTAAACTTTTTCCTTTGCACTACACTGGGCTCCTATAGACAACTTCGTACGTTAGCGTCCTTAGCAGCCTAACGTCCTATAACGTTGCTTACCGTCAACCTGCGCATGATGACCGTCATAACACACTTTTTGGCATTGAAACAGAACTTTTATTGAATTAATTTACCTAAATATAACCGATTGTTTTAACTGTAATCCCGTACTGCGTATAATTTCGTATTTTTGCGTTGATTGTTTCCGGGGTGTTTGTGTTTTTTAGTCTCTTTGGCTTACTCAAATCTATCGCATTTGTATTTCCATTTCATTTATTACCCGTAGTTCAGCCTCGTGCGATCAAAAAACAAAAAAAATGTCAATCAATTTTTGAAAATGAGATGCAATAAAAAGCCAATAAGCGGTACAACTATGAGAAATAGGATGACGATGAGGACGGCAAATTGGATGCGACGCTTGTTTTTAACCATCCAGGGCCTCTAAAAATTACTCTTTATTGTATATTTTATTATTAAATTATTATTAAATTAGATTTCAGGCCAGAATCACGGAAAATTGGACCCACCGTATCATGATGGCCACCGACGCTTATCACACACGGCGGATGGGGATAGGTGTCGTCATAAGAACTGCAAATTATGGAAGTTTTACATAGTTTTTTGTGGAATTACCATGAACTACTGCGGGATTGGGAAATTGTGTAGATTGGCGGGGCGATGTGAGGTGGGTTTGAGGTTGAAAAAGTTTCATGTTGAGAGAAGGTGCCTAAAAAAGATGGTAAAATTCATCCCGTTTTCGTTACCTCTATGCACATGTGGATATGGGGCTGGATCTGGAGATGTTGAATAAGTTGAAGGTAGCTAAATAATTTATCTTGTATTTAAAATCAAGTACAATCTAGTACTCTTTGCACAACAGCACGTAAATCATTTCCTCCTATTTTACAACTTCCGGCGTTGAACTAACCTGATAAAGTCCCTTTTCGGTGTTATAACAAGGGGTCAAATCACCGGAAGCCGCCGACATTCCCGAATCCAAGAAAATTAGATAAGCAGATCTGAGGGGGGCCGGCCCGAGAAGGAATCAAGAATTCGAATGGGTCCGTGGAGGGCGGTTATATAGAAGGTCGAGCGATAAGGTGGCACATGATGTCTCCAGAATGAGCAAAAACATGCCCTCACTTTGGCCCATTTCCACCCACTCCTTGTTCTATCTGCCGGTCATTTATTACCTGGTTATCGGGTATACTTCGGACTATTAATTGGTGTCGGGTCAAGGATCGGAGAAATTGCTTTTTTTTCTAAACTTGTCTGGCCTTACCAATGGCTATAACATATTTTCAAGGCGGAAATTAAGTATTAAAATAAGTTCTCAATTTTTCGATATCAGATCAAATTTTTACCCCCACACCCAATTCCCTAATCTCAAAATTCCCTGCAACCCCAGTACAACCGCACCCGTTCCTTCCAAATTCCTGACACCCTTATCTCTTTTGACGCAATACGTCAGCAGCTACCTAGGCGATAAATCTGCACCTCACTCCCCCAACCAACAACCTTTGAAGAGCAGCCTACCAGCTTCTCTCGAACATTCCCCCCAGATAACCAAGCTTTGATGTGTGGTTCCACAATGCTCCGCTGGTCAACAAACTTTATCAAAGAAGCGGCGACTCAATAAAGGCCCAAAAAAGAAAGGCAATAAACGTGTGACACCGGATTTCTTAGAAATTATCACAGCGTGAAGAACCCGTATTGGGAATAAAAAGGACAAGGTTAAGCGAGAAAGACCCGTTTAAAATAGTGAAAAAGAGTAAATAATTACTGTTATTCATTAATACGATCCCCTCCCTCTCCAGATAAGGACAAAAATGTTTGGGTCAACGTGTTCTGGGCTATTGAGAAGTCAACAGCTCCTGTCGTTCGCTTGACGACTTCTCCACGCTTCCACAGGGAGGACCATCTATCTCCTTCCCGTTTGGGGATCTAAAAAAGTTGAGCATCAATGACCATGAATCTGAGCATGTGCTTAAGATCAATCTGCCTATTCTTTTGCCCACTAAGGCTAGGCCGAAATCGTACCGTAAATCTAAACACATTATTCTGAACGCCTTCGGTATGTTGTGTGGCTCCCGGGAACGCCGCAGATACCTAATTAACGTAAATTCAAGTAAAAAGCGATCCCTTACCTCAGCATTAACCATATCGCTATCAGCCCTGAATTCCGTTGAATAGACGAGCGTCATTTGGTAGCTGTTGCCATACCTGAAAATTCGATAGAATACTGTAATTTTTGAATGGAACGTACTTTGATTTCAAATGTTGCGTAGTTCCAATGGCCCTCAAGTGACCTTTGACCAGGATCCCAACCCTAGTGCAAAGAGCTTCACATTCATCCATTGAGTGCGAGCAAAGGATGACGGCGCGTCTTTCGACATCTCGGATAACACCAATTAGGGACCAGATTTCACGTCGAGCCTGGAAAAGGTACATTTTAAGCGTCAGCGTCAAAAACCTTACCCTAGGATCGATCCCTGCTGTCGGTTCATCCAAAATGATCAGTGGGCTTCTAGCTAAAAGCGCGATTCCCACACTGATCTTTCGCTTTTGACCACCACTAAAAATACAACCCTGTAAAGAGAAAAATGTTATTTTTACAACCTGCAATGTTTTAATTGCTTATGCCCATGATCATCCATCAATACAGCTCTCAAAATCGAATCGGCTTTTCTAGATCAATCGTAAAAATAGTTTTATTTTTATCTTACTTCTCCGGATTCCTATACCCATAAAGTGTACCCAGAATCCATAGCACCTCCCTTCCGGTCAATTCGCTAAGATAGGCATCAAACTGGGGGCAATACCCCATGGTCTAAAGATTTACGTTAAACCTTCTTTTTTCGATCACCTACCGTAATCCCGGAAATCTCCTTATTTTCCAGATACGCATTCCCACTGCTCGCAAACATTTCTCCGGTCAAAATTCCGAAAGTTGTCGTTTTTCCAGCTCCATTCACACCTAAAAACGTATAATTTAGTGCTGAAAAATAACAAATCTTACCCAAAAGTCCAAAACACTCCGCATGACTGACGCCCATACTCAGTTTATTAAGCGCCGTAAATTTTCCATAATTCTTGGTGAGCTCTTTGATCTAAAAAAAAGCTAAAAACCAATAAATATATTTTACCGTAAGCGCATAATGTTGATTATTGGCTTTGTCAGCCACTTCTGTGCGTTCCCGAGCAACGTCAGAATCTTCGGCGACAATCTGGAAAGGAAAAATTGCATATGCAAATTGTAGATCGACTTACCGCAGGTGGAATCGGGCGGCTTCGACGAGCAATAATATAGCGTAATTTTGGCCAGCGTGACAAGAAAGTTAATATGATGAGACATACGGCAGAAGCGATTAGAAGGCCAAGCGTCAAGCCTAAATTTGCATAGATACGCATCTTTAAGCGTATCAACAAACCGTATTTATTCTTTGCATCCGGATCTCCCTCATAAAGTGGGTCTTTTTGTCTTCCAAGCTCGCGCGAGAACGTGATCCCTCGATATAGACCGAATGAGGGTAGGAAGAATTGTAGGAAGTACTGAAATAAACTTCTATACCTTTCCGGTAGGCGCCCACTTACGGCAAGGATTTTTGGATCCCAGCTGGTAAAGCCTTCAATAATTGCAATAATGATTAAGGATCCATAAGCGCCCATCGATTGGATAATGGTGATTAGGGAATTTGCCTAAATGGGTGTAATTGGTTAAAGTACCCTCAATACCCTCGGAGCAGAATCGAAGAACGACGAGAACATGTATACCATCGGAAGCGAAGCTACGAAGTAGAGGATAAACACAATAATGATTCTAAATTCTGTTTTTCTATAGGTTTTTCTCAACCTACCGTAACATCTCCCCCTCTGCCCAACCGCCCACATGGAAAGCGACAGTAATCAAAGCTGTCATAACGATAAACGTGATTGTATCGTAGATTACAGAAGCTGTATAAAGGGTCCAGACTGGGACGGCAGTTAGGTGTTGCTAAAATGTACGTTAAATTATCATCTTAAAGCAAATTTAAATTTTTGATGAGCCGACCTGATGCAAAAATTTTGTTACGCGTTCGACAACATGGAAAATAGCTAGAGGTGATGTTAGCATAGCAAAAACAAGAACAGCGATTAAGCCAATTGCAATATCCTCGATCTAAATTTGCATAATTAGCAAATTTTCTCCTGTAAATTCAAACCTGGGATGAAACCTCCTTCTCCTGTTTGGAAGCATGATGCGATTTTTTAATCAAACCAATCCCCATCGAGATATGGCCACCACCATCTATACAAAAAGGTACCTTAAGAGAGTTATACTTACGCTGATCCAAATATGCATTAGCGACGTTGTTAATAAGAGCGGGAAGAGGCCAGTAAGCTGCTCCATTGTAGATAAAATGTGGGGTTTCTAGGTCTTTTTGAGATTTTCGATTTCAAAATTACCATTGTAAAAAACCATTCCGCATCCGGCCGGCGGTAGATCTAACGGCTTATTCCTAATCGCGGTCAAGTAATCAGGATCATCGATGTATTCAACCTTAATGTGAAATTAAAATAAGTTAGGAAACTATTGTACTTTCAGATGTTTAGAAGCTTTGGCCTGATTCAGAATATAGTCATTCTTGACGTCGCTGGTGTTCCCGGCTACGTAGAACTTCATTTTTCCCATGTTGTCGAAGGACACGTCGCGGACTGAATTATTTTTGATGTAAGAGTGCCCTTAAGACATACCTTTTGCTGAAACACCTCCTACAGTATTCGTAATATCACGCCAGTTAATAAGAGATGCAAGAAGGAACACTATAAGATTTCTAGATATAATTTTTAAGCACAGCGTACCAATAACTAATGGAAAGATCAACTGATATATCCATTGAGACCAATTTCGGATCGAGTATATCCATCTTTTCCACAGCAATACCATTAACTGGAGGTGCTGCGTGAATCTAGGAATTACAAATAGATAAGAACAGCTTTTTCTAAGTACCCAGTAGCCCTTTCATCCAATTCCGGGTCGAACATTTCTTTCCTAGCGACAGTACCATCTTCACCATGTTCCGCCATTTCTCCGACACTATAAAGTATAGAAAATAGTTTATAAAGGTTTTTGAAGGCTAAAATACAGTATTGCACTTACCGTAAGAACACTTGCTCCAAATTATTGATTGACAATCCAAAAGAAGAAACTCCAAGGGCCTTCTGGTCTTTTTCAAGGTACCCAAAAAGTTCGGCAAAGTTCTCTTGCTCTTCTACTGGCAGCGAAATTTCAATCTGAAAATTGTCGAATTCGTTGTGTAACGCATTGTCATACCTGTTTTCCATGAAATCTCGTCAGACTAGCAGTTCTCACATAGGTTTGAACGTCCTAAAAAACTTTTCATACTAACAACAGGTCTAAAATACCGAGAGCAACATCGTCCCACTGGATTCTCGTAGATGTTCATCCTGCATGACGACAGTAAGTACGTATCCGGTACCGAATCTAGAATTAAGGAATCAGAGCCTTGAGTTGCAACTCACCGTCGTTTCAAAAAGTTGATGCTCCCAGCTGCCACATCCCTACCTCGGACCATAATTACAATTCGATCCCCAAGAGCTTCGGCTTCATCCATATAATGGGTTGTTAAGAGGATGGTGCTGGAATATAGAGTAGTGTGGTTTAAAGAGGTCGGTAGTACCGGTCTCGCTTTTCCTGATCTAGCATCCTTTCGACATCCTGTCGCGCTCCTGTGTCCATTCCGGCTGTTGGCTCATCAAGCATTACAACTCTAAAGCAAGATATTACTGCTAATTTGCATACTTTCACATGTTTTTGATTAAATGTGTATATTTTAATGATTCTGTGATCTCAGATATACCTCGAGTCACCAATCAGTGCCATTGACAAGCACAGTTTCCGCTTCATACCTCCGGAAAGAGCCATGGAATTCTAAAACTTGCACTTGAGCTTTTTATTTTGACTATTTCCTACCGTATTCAATTTCTCACCCATCTTCAGCGCTTCTAAAAGTTGTGTTCCCTCCTCTCGCCAATCATTTGTAGCTCTAAAGTGATAAATCTGAAGCTCGAAAACTAAAACTAACCCCTTGACCTTGTGGAAAAACCACAAATGTTCCATTGCTGTAAGTTTCTCAAAAAGTGCATTAGCTTGCGGGCAGTATCCGACTCTTTCGGCATTTACCTAAAGTTTTCGTAGTTTAGCTAAAATCCCAATTTTCAGCCCACCTTGACAAGTCCCGAAGTTGGTGGCGTAATTCCACAAAGTACAGAAAAAGTGGTACTCTTTCCAGCACCATTGTGGCCGAGGAGTACGGTAACCTGAAGCGCGTTATACGATTTTTACGATTAGGCGGCCTACCTCTCCCCTCTTCGCGCGCAAATTCATATTCTGAACTGCATAGTCACCGGTGGAACCCCACATCTAAAAAATAATTAAATTTGCATTTTTTTAGTTTTGACCGTACCTTTGATAGGCCTTCTACAACAATATCCGCTTCAGCTTTATCATCTATCGGCTCGTGACTGTCTCTCAGGACTTTGACATCATCTGTAGACTCCGTATGGACCTTGGAGTTTTTCTAAAAAAAATTTAAATCACCCCTAGTCCCTCTTTCTTACCGAAAAACAGCTCCTTAAGAAAGTGACGATCGAAAAATCGGTATTTTTGTGATAGATCTCGGCCGCCACGATCACGAGACTAAACTTAAATTTTTCGACTAATTTTGAAGAGCCACCTCATCCAAAAAATATCCAACAACAGCATTAGCATAATAGGGCCAATGTTGAAAATGTAATTTGGCTGCTCGAAAAATTCGGAGAAAGAGAGTGCGCGGTCTAAATATGCTAATTTGTATAGTTCTTGCCTTACTTCTGTATAAATAGCTTTGGACAGCCTGCATCATTCTTCCGAGAGCACCATTATAACTTAGTGAAGCTACAGCCGAGATCCAGGGCTAGGATTTAATTAGCGTAAACCTTGTAAACGCTTACATTATAAATCGAAGGTGTTGTTTGTCCAAAAACGCCCAGGAAGATAAAGAGCGGATGGAGTACGGTAATCACTAAATTATGCAAATTAAGGTGGCTTCGAGGGGCCACTACCTCTGATAGTGCTATTTGAGGTAGCAAAAATACTAGCTACTGCTGCAGCAGCTACAACAGCGGCTAGGACGTAGAGGTAGAGAGGCAGAAAATAGAATAACACGTTAATAGACACGATATTGCCCTAGAGGTATTGATTATAAGTGTTACTATAGAACTTACAGATGCCAACTTTATCGCAGGAGCTATGGAAGCTGCTGTAACTACGATAACTCCTTTCAACCATCCGATAAATATGTGAGAGCTGATAAATGTAAATGAGGACATTCCCATAACATTTAGAAAATCCTAGACAATAATTTTATCGAAAAACAAGGTTTAGATACCTTTACACCAGTTTCTTTTTCAGTGGCTATCTCTCTTCCGGTATGGATTAGGACCGGTAGTAAGATACCTCCCAGAATGGCGCTATAAAAGCTGAACACATCCTAAAATAACAAAATTAAAGAAGTTCTAGAGAAATTCACGATCCAGCTCTGATAGTGAAGTCCGGACCAATACATCACTTCGCCAATGATCGATTGTGGGGGTTTATTAAGTCCGGATACCTAAGGATAGAAACGAAAATACTATTTTTTTTCAGTTGAAACTTACATTCATAAAAGCAGCATTTAACGAATGAATGAATTCTAGGTATTGCGACTGCCAAGTACCGTAGTTCTAAATGCTAGGTGTGGCTGGCCAAGCGGGCTGTGCTTACCCCCCACCAGCTCTTCCCAATATTTGCATACGGGTCCTCGTTTTGCCAGTCTTCGCCGAGACCGTCATTTAAAACCCAGTTTGGGTAGAAGACGCGGTAGCTGAACTTCTTGGTCGCTGGGTCGATCTCGTCGATCATGAAGCCAAAGCTGATTGAGGCGGAGGTTTGGTCGTAGCTAAAAATGGGAAAATTGCCATATCTTAGATTTAAGGATACTTTAAACCCCAAAACTACTTACTTATATGGTTGTTGCAACAAATCAAACAACTCCTTCTCAGTCGCCACCGGATTTAACCCACAATTCGTGCCGTATTGCGTTTTCCGGGCACAAGTGATATTTATTAAATTGTAAACAATACTATGATCAACGGTAGGGCCAACACTAAAAATATACAATTTGTGTAAATAGGTTTTTTCATACCTAAAAGCATATTGTTCACCTCCGGTCCAATGGTCCCTAATTTCTTGAGGAGCATAGTTGAAGTCCATATTAATCTCGTCGCCGTCTTTGAATATCAGAATTGAGACTGGGATCCCGATAATGAGCGGGAGAATGAGCTCGATGACTGTCCATAATCGGCTTCTCCACATCACCAAGAAGTTCTTCTGGGTCATCAGCCAGAAGAGCCTCATCGTGGCGGCTGAAGTCATTTTAAAATAATAAATTTGAATCAAGAATCTGCGAAAATCTAGGCACGTTTTCCCAGAATAAAAGTGATTGCGTAGTAGAGAATCGGGATATAGGCGTCGGAAATTGGCGGGGTTGTCAGTGAGCTCGGACTTTTTTTGGGGCCGGATATTGGCAGGATTTTTGAAAGCACCTGTTTCGGCAAACCACACCTTTTTTGGGGCTTTTGGGGGGTGAGATTCTAGGGGATTAGAAAAAGCTAAATTGTTTCTCGATAAAAATTTTGAGAAATTTTAGATGCAAAGCGGAAAAGGAAATCTGGCAAAACTCATGTCGGTCTGGAGGCTTTGAGCGGGGGGGTGACGAATTCTTTGGAATCGTTTTCCGATAAGAGGAGAAGCAGGGAGACCAATATTTCTGGGGCTTTGAAATCGGAATTTCAAAAGATTTTAAAAAATAAGAAAAGGTCGGAATTTGTTTGTTAAAGTATCTTAATGAAAGACCATCAATTACAGCGGATAGATTTGCATTTTTTAAAGTTTTGATTGCTTGTGAAAACATGTATCCGTATTTTTTGCACAATTTATATAAATCTAACCTTCTAAATTTTGTCTAATAATTTTCTAAAATCTAAAAACACTTTTTAACGACCAAAAATCGAGCTTTATTTGCTCCCACAAGGCAGGTGATAAGGAAACCGCACTTTAAAAGACAAAAAAAAAAGCAATTTTATTAACCCTATCCTTTTTTGCTAATTCTTAATAACAAAAGAAACTAAAGAGCGTTTCAAACCCCACGCAAAGCAACGCCAAAACTAAAAATTGCGCTCCCATGCTCTGCAATGATAAAGTCATGACTCACCTCAAAGCTGACAATTCGACGCTTCTTGTTCCGAATTTACGGCTGTTCAAATATTGGTCATCTTCAGCAGGGGTGTCAAGTTTGGGCGATCAAGGGAACCTTGTGAAACTGGGGTAAAAAGGGAAAAGCGGGCTTAATTAGCGGGGCCGAGTGCGCATTTTGAAGGGGGAGGCCGGAGGGTGGGCTGAAAATAAATCATGCGCAGGTTACACCGGATTCAATTACCTCAGAGAAAAAGGGGGTCTTTTTGGGGAATTATTTGTTTGTGGATCGGATGACGTGGATTTGGAGAAGGTGGAGAATAGTTATATTTACTAATATACAGTAATGTATAGTAAGATAAACCATTATACCGTAAAATACCGTAATACAGCAAGCTATAGTAATCAAGTCGACTTAGTTATATAGTAGTTCAATCTTTTTTCGTATTTTTACATATCATCTCTGTCTTTTTTTTTATGCAATTTTTACAACTTTGACATCTGTTTATACAAAAGTAGCAACTGTCTTCACATAGGCCCATAAGGGTCAACAGCTGTGCTTCACTCACCTTCTTGCGCAACCATTCGAGGGGCGGAGCTTGCAGCTGTATTATGCTAATCTTAAGACCCACACTCGGTTCCTCATCCTAATTTTTGTCTGCGCAAAATCTGAAAATGCTAGCTAGTATTTTTATACTATTCTGCATACCTTACCTATCACTTGCTGATGCATCTAATGAATCGTCACTCTCGATTAATGAACCTTCCCGAAATTACAACGTCATCATCACAAGGCCAAATGTGAAGGATGTAAGTGAAAGGTATGCTTTGTTTTTATGTTTTTTAAGGGAAATGACGCTACAGTATGTGGTGGGGCCTTAATTGCTAAAAATGTCGTCTTGACCTCGGCGTACTGTGTGGATGGACTCCGCCTAAATCACAGCTATGTTGGCTCGGAAGTGGAAAATAATGTGAAGCCTTGGCTCCGGAATAATAGTCGGGTGATTGAAGTGGCGAAACATCCGAAATGGAAAATCGGGGTAATTTTGACTTATTAACTCGTTTAAGGCTAAAATTCAGGAAAATACCTATGATATCGGGCTGCTTTTAATTGATCCTTTCAAAAACATCGACACCGAACCTCTAAGTCTGCCAAATAATGAGGATAACAATACATCATTGGAAGACTGGAAAATGTGTCATATTACAGGTATATTTGTATTTTTTACTGCTTAAAGTCAGTTTTTTAGGCCCCACCCATGGCTGGAGAAAAACTTGCATGCCGAGGGATTATCTAACCTCTTCGATTGGCATGATTGCTTCTGGGAACGAGTGTGAAACGAATACGGTAGGAAAATACAATGCTTGTTAAATTTTTGATTCAGACGCAAACGATTACTCCCGGAAACTATTGCTTCTTTGCTACGCCAAATTTGCATACTTGCTATGGTGCAACTGGATCGACGGTGGCTTGTCAGGGGTATGGCTTTTTTAAAGAGATAGAGAGAGAGAGAAGAGAAAGCGATAGAGAGAGAGAGAGAAAGAGAGAGAGAAAGTGCAAGTAAAAGCACGGGTTTTACCTAATAACTATGTTTTTATAGACTTTTCGACGCCAAACCGACCCTTTTCGGACTCAGAACCACTCGAAAAGTGTGCTGCGTCGGCGAGGAGGGCTCAGACCCATATTTCCCGGAAGAAATTTTGCGGCTTGATGGGGAGAAGCTGGATTGGGTAAATTTGGAGATGGAAAAGCTGATGAAAAAGCAAAATTAACGATTTTGTCGATTTTTCGGAATCTCGCTTTTGTGAGTAATTGTGTTGTACTCTCTGTTGATCATATCTCATTTGCATAACGCGCCTCCTTGAGTTCTCCATTCCCACATTTTGAAGCTCACCCGCCGGATCTCATTGCCTTTTCTATGCTTTTGAATAAATCATGCCCCACCGGAATTTTTAATTTCTCACACATTTGGCAATTTACCCAATGAGCTTTTATGGAAGTTCATCAATTTTTCTATCAAAAAAACAACATTCTAAAGCTTCCTGCAAGAAACTGGTACAATAACATTAGTAGCAACAGCCTTCTCGCCCCAGCTCTGCCATCGGGATCTCGTTGTTTATCGGGAGGTGCGAGCATGAGCAGGCGTGGCAATCGCTTTCGGCTTCTTCTTCTTCCTACCCCCTCCCTCAGTGGCGTTTCACTTTTGCCTCCGGGGCTCGCATAGCGCTAATAGCGTCTAATGGTTGGCCGGGTGCCGGGGATGAACGTCTTGGCGGTACTGTTGTTCTACCTATATAGTTTGGCCCAATCTGGGGAAGCTGCTGGCAATAGTGTTTTGAAGCTATCTCATGTATTATCGCCAAGTATTCCGTTTACCAACCATTTACGGGCGAAACGATACGGTAGGTGGCGTTTTTTCAATAATTTTTTCTAATAGCTTAAAACATTTCTTTTATTTTTGGACCATACGCTTCTGAAATTTGTTATTTGCGATGAGAATATGAGTGACACAACCTATAATTTTCTCTTTGGAAAAACAAGGCTTTCCGTTTTGTAGTTTTGACGCGATTACGTACAAAAATGGACGTTTTAACTAAAAAAAACAGAATTTTACAGTACTTCGTCGGAAACGCTGGACAAAACGAGCGCTACGCTGGAAACTCAGCAAAAAGCACATTACGGAAGGCGACGAATTTGTTGTCAGGTAACCACGCTCTTCTGACCCAGCTTGGGCTTGGGCTTGGGCTTAGGCTTGGGTTAGGCTTAGGCTTAGGCTTAGGCTTAGGCTTGGGCTTAGGCTTAGGCTTAGGCTTAAGCTTAGGCTTAGCCTCAGCGCATCAATAACCATTGCCAATCTCTCGTTCCTCTAACCCCCAGAAACAGTTGATCGCCAACTTCCCCTTTCGAAGTTTGCACCACAGCCTCTGCTTGCCAAAGGCGCCGAATCGAAACTCCCTTTTTTTTCGAAAAGCCATTCACACCACTGCCGGGGCTGTTAGGAGGGGGAGGGGAGAGGGTTTGTGTCAAAAACACCGTTCCTTCTTGGGGGGTGTTCCGTTTTGAGAGCGTGGAATGCCTGGGATGGTCTACTTTTTTGGGGTTGGATGGGTGAAACTTGGCAATCCAGGGGTTGGAAGATTGTGGAGGGGGGAGGAAGAAGTATCGGTTCGGATGGATGGGAGTACCATTTCACGGGTTTTACGGGGCAGCTGACTTGGTTGGGGAAAGTGATTTGGGGTCGTGGATGGTTTAAAGGGTCTGGCAAGGCAGTGATTTCGAAGAATTCGCAACGCGTAACCAATTACGCAATTACTAGCTTCGGTGTTGCGTTTTTTCGATTTTGCTAGATTCATTAAAATGCGTTTCCATGTCATGCGCAAGTCCGAAAACATTGCGTAATGGAGTCGTGGCGCGTTGTTTTTGTAGCCTTGGTTCCCTTACAAGCTCTCTTGTTAGCTTTAATTAGCATTTTCATATGTTTCTTTTCTTCATTTTTGGTTCTAAATTAAGCCGCGCCCACCCTAAATATGCAAATCACCCACCCAAGTCCCAAGGTGACATTCCAGTCCCCCTTAAAAATCACACCTCATCCTCCCCATCATGTTTTCACCACTCCCCACTACCACCCCCACACTCACCCATCCAATGCCACCCTTGATTAATGGCAAGAAAAGCGAAAGTCGGGATTGGGAAGTGCTCCTCCTCCTCCCCTCCTCATGCTCCTTTTCTGGGTGGGGCTGCTACCCGGGTGAGCCTCAGATTTGAATGGCAGACCGGCTCCCCCCACCAGAATTGACCTCGAACCCCTCCCCGTCAGTCCCATCTACTTTAGCGGCATTGCTGTATAAACTGGAATCATTAAGTAAAGGTAAAAGTGGGGGGGGGGGAGGGTCGCACTAATGCCTAGAAAACCGCAGGGGCTCGTAAAAACACGCAAAAATTATTAAATTGTAGAAATACACTCCATCGCGCCTTCAACAACTGGGCGGCGGTCTCTTCCGCCAAATTTGAAGAAGTTTCCCCACACGAGGAGGCTGATATTGAGGTATAACTTCCGCAAAAAGAATTTCTAGACCCTACTCCTTTATATTCGGGCTCTAAATCCAAAAAGCAAAAACATTCCAACCAACCGGATTCGAACCAGTGACCTAAGGATAGCTGCTGACTCTACAGTCCTCCGCTCTACCAACTGAGCTATGGTTGGGCCGAGAGAGGGGCAGGGGAGGGGGGCTGAAGAGGGAAAGGGCAGCCGGGGCCGGCAGTGCCCTCGTCCCCAGTGCCGGGCGGGGGTTCAAAAAAAGTGCGAAGAAGGGGGCTTCCGGCCTGGCAAAATTCTAAATATACTCTAAAAAAATCCAGAAAACTAAAATTAAATATTTAGATTGGATTCGAAAAAGGGCGACATGCGGATTCTTTTCCATTTGATGGAACAGGTAAAGAATTGCGGTATTAAAGTAACCTAAAATAGCAAAATTGTTGCAAGAAATACGTCTTAAAAAACCATTTTTTCTCTATTTTTCTCTCAAAGATTCAAATCTAATGTCTGGTCTGCCGGGAAATGCCGAAATTATTCAAGCGTAAGAGCGGCGGTGAGACGGCATAGAAATTATCGGGGAGTAATCGAGGCGGCACCGGGTGTCTAGTCTGAAATTTGCATGAAATTTTGGAATTTACATATGTAAAAACCTGATAAATTCACTTTTAGATGGAATTGTCGCGCATGCGTTTTACCCTCGAGACGGCCGACTGCACTTTGACGCCGACGAAAAGTGGACTTTAAATAGTGATGATGGGGTTAATTTGTATCAGGTTTTTGGTTTCTAAAAATAAGGAATTCCATCGCGTAACCATTTAGACAGCCGTCCATGAAATTGGACACTTGTTGGGCTTGGAGCACTCGACGGACCCGAGAGCTGCAATGTTTGCTGCCAAGGTTTAGCACTTCTCCGCGCGTTGGACACCGTTTTTAGAGGCCCTATGACCCGGATTTTGGACTTGCCGATGATGATGTCAGGGCTATAAGAACCCTCTTTCCGGTTAATACAAATAATAATATTGCGGCGAAACATTCGAGGATTGTGGTCCCGCCACGACGTAGGCTACGATTAGCTCGAACCTAAAAAATCCGCTTTTTAGCCATATCAACTTATGAAATTAACTCGGAACTGGAGCACATGCGATTTGTGAAGTATCCCCGGGTTATTGATGGTTTGGCATTGTTCCAGAAGGGTTATCGAAGGAAAAAGGTATTTTGCGTGTCTATTAATGCCTTTCTAGATCCCAACCACTACCCCTTCAAGGATAAATTATGAATATGAATTCCAAACTACCACCAGAAAACCGGAATGGCCTATTAAAAGTGGAATTACTATATGTAAAACATCTAAAAAATTATTTTACAGCCAGAAAACAAGAACTTCCATTCAACTTTGACCCAATTTTATGGCCAGGGTATTTTGAGGTATAGTTCTGACTTTTTCATACGTGCTATTTTTCCAGGCCAAACGCTAGGCAATTCCACCACTTTACACCTTACGGGTACGCGATAAACACTGAATAAATTGCTTTATCAAATCCCGTTTTGAAAAAGGAAAATACAGTCCAATGCGAGTGGGTAAGCAGTAATATGCGAAGATTATGCCCTGGTGACCAGTATTAACAAAGTTATTATGGGAGTGGGGAGGGAGAGGATTTGGAAAGATTGAGCAAGAGGATGATGCTAAGAAGGTGAGATAAAAATAGACCAGGAATGATGAGGGGGGAACTGTAGATGTGGCAATAATAGAATTTCATCTAAAAATCTAAGATTTAGTATTAGAATCGGTATTTCTATGGAATAGATGTAATCTCAAAATCATTGAGCCGCCGAATCGACCATAGTTTGAATGTCAGCAATAATTGTGCGAGCCACTTCTTCGGCAAGTTCTTCTTCGCGGAGTGACGATTTGTCCAAATAGCGTCGTAATTTCATCTGAATTTTTGATGTTTCTATGGAGTTTGACGTTTCTATACCTTTAATTTGCTTTGTGCATTTTCTCGTTCCATCGTGAAACTAGTATCGTAAAGAGGAGTGTAACGTCCCATTGAATCAACTTCAGCAAGCCCGCTAAGATGTAGCTATTTTGACAACCTTAGTAACTCGTTATACCCAGATTTCTTGACTGGCGTTAAATTCTGTTGGCATGAATATGGGTTCGTCTCGGAGCTCTGGCTATTATGATCTTCAGCAGCCCCCATCGTGCGAGGGTTTTGCAGGTGATTTCTAAATTTGCGCACATGATTTTCTCTATAACATTTTTTCATACGTTAATAAAGCTGGTAAGCTATCCCTCCCACTACTTCGATCCAGGCTATCGTCCCTTGACCGCTGGATTTTGCCCCCAATCCTTGGGAGCTCGATCTGAAAATCGAAGGTATGATTAGTATTCCATGGCATACCGTATTTGCAATAGTGTTGGTGAGGTCGGAAATATATTCCGCAAAGACCGGGGATTGGCGGAAGGGGTGGAGGTATTTCTGGAAGAATGTCGATTGATTGGGAGACGGAATTGGAGGGTAGACAAAATATGCAAGGAGTGATGTGCGGGGCGGCGGGGGGAGTCAAAATATCTTTAAGGAGGTGTATTACTATAGAAAATTGGATAAATAGGTTTAAAATAAGCATCAGTGCTTTTATAGTTGATAGAAACCTCCTAAAAAGGTTAATAATCCAAAGAAAAATTTTCGAATTAAGGAAAAATCGATTAAAAACGCGATTCCCGTTTCTAGAATCTCATGTTTCTAAAGGAAAGCCGAGAATGCTGTATTTTGGAGCGTTAGGTAGTCATTCGGGGGGTTTGGGGACGTGGAGCGAGAGCAGAGCGAGCGCCGGGCCCCGATGCGGCCGTATTTGTTCAGTTTTTTTTCGGGGGTTTCTGTCCATCGGGTGTTGGAGGGGGACACAGTGGTGTTTGTTGGCCAGCCTGCGCTTATCGTTTGCTGGTCATCGCCGGGGCGTGTCACATTTTAGAGGGGGTTTTGGAGTGAATAAAATCTTGGGGTATCGTTTAAACGCTAAAAACCCACCTCCTCTAAATGTAGCAGCGCCGCGTATTTTTGCGCCTTAAAGGCATCCCGCTGTGGTCGCCCGGAATCGGTGCAAATTCGCGCCTAAACCTACTAATTACGTTGTTGAAATCTCCCACCTCTAACGCCATTCGATTCTCATCCGAAAGTGCGATTCGAGAACGTTCGGCTTGCATTGAAAAATATCTAAAAATCTTAAAAATAATTTTTGTTGATTCCAACCTGTCATAAATCGCCATCGCATCGTCGAGCACTTCAGAATCTACCGTATCAGGCCATTGTGATTCCCAAGTATCGACAGCGAGGATCATTTCGACCAGATTCTGTTCTCCCACTTCTACCATGCGCTAAAATCATTTAATTCAGCGTAAAAGATCATTTAAAGTAATTTGTCTACCTCCAAAAACCCGGCCAGCAATGGCTCGACCCGAAGAATATGCATTAATGGACATTCTTCACGTGTTAAAACATCCAATTCGTGCTTTTTGTAATAAATAGAGTTCATAAATTCTGGGTGATATCTGAAAACATAACTTAATTATTGAAATACAGGAATTACCTTAATTCAAAAAGATCCTTCACAAAACTCTGCGCCTCATCAAAACATCGAGGATCAAATCGACCACTTTCTATCACCGCTGAAAATCTTGGCTTCAAATCAGTTACAGTAACCCCTACAAGCCACACGCGCATAAATTTTCTTTGGCAAGCCGATGCTGGTTGGAGATTCTTCGTCGAGGTATTTCCCAAAAATGTGTTTCGCATCGAGGAAGCACACTAATGAAATGTATAAATATATTTTTTGCGAATTTTCCTACTCTGCTCAGCAGTAGCCCTCGACGCATCAGAAATATTGACGATGGATGCGCGAAACCCGTCGACGTGCATCCAAAATTTGACCAAGTTTAATTTATCTGGAATTCATATTTGATATCGATTTAAGAGGGTCAAATTACCACAGGAATCCATAAAATTAATAAAAAAAGGATAGGGCCGATGTGTCGCTAAGGAGCACCTCCACATTGTAGGCCAGGTTCGGGATCCGAAGGGAATCAGATTCGTTTCGAGCTTCTAAAAACTTATTTTAATAGATTTATATTAATTTTTGGCATCAAGATACTATAAAAGTATCTTCAAGTTACTTTTTTAACTACAATAAAACCCACCCGATTCCGTTACATTCCGTGACGTAGACGCAGCAATATCGTCCAAATCGACGGATGTTTTTCCTGAAAATAATTCGGTGCGATTTTTAGAATGTCAATTTGCATATTGCTAGCGGAACACACCTTTAGAGCGGATTTTATGCAGAAAACTGTTAACGCGGCCGTTCATTTTCCATTAGAATTAGATTATTAGAAATGCATAGCCGGCGGAAGGGGCAACGTGTTTCCTCGAAAAACCGGCTGATCGCCCGAGCCCTCCGGGGGGGTGGACAAGGAAACAAATTTCCGATGTCCGATTCACAAGGGGGCATAGAGTGGGGTGTACATGGGTGTCACGCGTAGCCCATGAATTCCGATGCATAGAAGGAGACCCCAGTCAAGCCATCCGAAAACGCATCAAAAATAGTGAGGAAAAGATTGGGTACGAAAACTGGGTGCTAGGTGGCGAGCGCGTTCGTGGTCGCCACAATTTTTTTGAAGTTCAACTACACACCCTGTAAGCCTCTTCATCGGTGTACCTGTACAATGTGCACCTCAAAGGGCACCAAAAATAGTACCGAAAACAGTTTCTTCCGAAGCCCCGGAGGCCCTGGTTTAATTGCTACGATTTTTTGAATGTTGCAACTAGGCAGACCTCGTCGACCAGGCCTTCCAAGCCCGATTCCGCGAGAAATCGACCGTGCGAGATCGCTTTGATGCCTGCACCTGAAAGCGCACCAAAACTAGTGTCGAAAACCGTTTCTTCCGAAGCCCCGGAGGCCCTGGTTTAATTGCTAGGATTTTTTGAAACTTTTATTTTTGATGGTTTACGACTAAGGGGGGGACCACATGGCTTTTTTCGGAATTTACCAAAAAAATTTCGAGAAATTCATCACGCACTTCAATGTGCAGCTGAAAGAGCACCAAAAATAGTACCGAAAACCGTTTCTTCCGAAGCCCCGGAGGCCCTGGTTTAATTGCTACGATTTTTTGAAACTTTTATTTTTGATGGTTTACGACTAAGGGGGGGGGAACACATGGCTTTTTTCGGAATTTACCAAAAAAATTTCGAGAAATTCATCACGCACTTCGATCTGGAGCTGAAAGAGCACCAAAAATAGTACCGAAAACCGTTTCTTCCGAAGCCCCGGAGGCCCTGGTTTAATTGCTACGATTTTTTGAAACTTTTATTTTTGATGGTTTACGACTAGGGGGACACATGGCTTTTTTCGGAATTTACCAAAAAAATTTCGAGAAATTCATCACGCACTTTAATGTGCAGCTGAAAGAGCACCAAAAATAGTACCGAAAACCGTTTCTTCCGAAGCCCCGGAGGCCCTGGTTTAATTGCTACGATTTTTTGAAACTTTTATTTTTGATGGTTTACGACTAAGGGGGGGACCACATGGCTTTTTTCGGAATTTACCAAAAAAATTTCGAGAAATTCATCACGCACTTCAATGTGCAGCTGAAAGAGCACCAAAAATAGTACCGAAAACCGTTTCTTCCGAAGCCCCGGAGGCCCTGGTTTAATTGCTACGATTTTTGAAACTTTTATTTTGATGGTTTACGACTAAGGGGGGACCACATGGCTTTTTTCGGAATTTACCAAAAAATTTCGAGAAATTCATCACGCACTTCAATGTGCAGCTGAAAGAGCACCAAAAATAGTACCGAACACCGTTTCTTCCGAAGCCCCGGAGGCCCTGGTTTAATTGCTACGATTTTTGAAACTTTTATTTTTGATGGTTTACGACTAAGGGGGGACACATGGCTTTTTTCGGAATTTACCAAAAAATTTCGAGAAATTCATCACGCACTTCAATGTGCAGCTGAAAGAGCACCAAAAATAGTACCGAAAACCGTTTCTTCCGAAGCCCCGGAGGCCCTGGTTTAATTGCTACGATTTTTTGAAACTTTTATTTTTGATGGTTTACGACTAAGGGGGGGACCACATGGCTTTTTTCGGAATTTACCAAAAAAATTTCGAGAAATTCATCACGCACTTCAATGTGCAGCTGAAAGAGCACCAAAAATAGTACCGAAAACCGTTTCTTCCGAAGCCCCGGAGGCCCTGGTTTAATTGCTACGATTTTTTGAAACTTTTTATTTTTGATGGTTTACGACTAAGGGGGACACATGGCTTTTTTCGGAATTTACCAAAAAAATTTCGAGAAATTCATCACGCACTTCAATGTGCAGCTGAAAGAGCACCAAAAATAGTACCGAAAACCGTTTCTTCCGAAGCCCCGGAGGCCCTGGTTTAATTGCTACGATTTTTTTGAAACTTTTATTTTTGATGGTTTACGACTAAGGGGGGACCACATGGCTTTTTTCGGAATTTACCAAAAAATTTCGAGAAATTCATCACGCACTTCAATGTGCAGCTGAAAGAGCACCAAAAATAGTACCGAAAACCGTTTCTTCCGAAGCCCCGGAGGCCCTGGTTTAATTGCTACGATTTTTTGAAACTTTTATTTTGATGGTTTACGACGAAGGGGGGGACCACATGGCTTTTTTCGGAATTTACCAAAAAAATTTCGAGAAATTCATCACGCACTTCGATCTGGAGCTGAAAGAGCACCAAAAATAGTACCGAAAACCGTTTCTTCCGAAGCCCCGGAGGCCCTGGTTTAATTGCTACGATTTTTTGAAACTTTTTATTTTTGATGGTTTACGACTAAGGGGGACCACATGGCTTTTTTCGGAATTTACCAAAAAAATTTCGAGAAATTCATCACGCACTTCAATGTGCAGCTGAAAGAGCACCAAAAAATAGTACCGAAAACCGTTTCTTCCGAAGCCCCGGAGGCCCTGGTTTAATTGCTACGATTTTTTGAAACTTTTATTTTTGATGGTTTACGACTAAAGGGGGGACCACATGGATTTTTTCGGAATTTACCAAAAAAATTTCGAGAAATTCATCACGCACTTCGATCTGGAGCTGAAAGAGCACCAAAAATAGTACCGAAAACCGTTTCTTCCGAAGCCCCGGAGGCCCTGGTTTAATTGCTACGATTTTTTGAAACTTTTATTTTTGATGGTGGTTTGAAGGGACCACGTAGTCCCCGGGAGGCCCGAATAGTGCCAAAATTCGTTTGGTGTGAAGCCTGAAAGGCCCTGGTGTAATTGCTTAGATTTTTTTTTGTAGTGTCGGCTTTGGAGTAAAAGGGGTACCACATCGACTTGTTCGAAAATTCGCCTCAGCCAGACGCGCGCGTCAGGATTTCGCCCTGATCTCATTCAACCGGCTTGAAACGCTGATTTCGATGTGCTACTTCGTATAGCTGTAACTTTGGGTCTTTGGTCGGAATGAGTTTTTAAAGTTGCGACCAGCACATCCGAATCAGCGTTACAAAGCTGTACTGACGCGTATAGCTATAACTTTCAGGATAGCGAGCGATTCTCACTTGACTGTTCGGATTTAGCATACGAAAGCTTATCTAAAGTAGTGTTGGGAAAAATTCATGCAGGCATTGAGAGAAGGGTGTCGATCGCTAGAGACGGAGAAAACATGATTCGTCCGGAGATGTCGTTGGTGTCTTCGTTGTATTCTTGCCTATAGCTCGATATTGTCTGGCGTGTTTCTTCTTCCAACGTCCATTCCATCGACAAGTCGGCTTCAATGGACAACCAGATCGAAATTGGGAGCTGAAATAGCTCGATGAGCTTATTGGCTCTATTTGCTAGGGGTGTGTTTTACAGAAGGTGGGCGGGTAATCGCCGGGGTATACACGTGGAATTGTTGATTTTGATCGCGCACTCACTCATTTCCGATCAAATCGAGGACATATTTTTGGCGTTGAACTTTCATCGGTCTCGGAGCTTTTGGATAATTGTGGAGCCAGAATTTTAACGCTGTGGTTGATACTTGTGATTTTATAAGATATAAATTTTTGTGCGTTCCTTGGAGTTAAAAAAACCAAACAAAGTCATCATTACCAAAAAGGCGCGAAAAGAACGGTTTTCCTATGTGAAGGAGCCCTATTTACTGTTCGTCTACTCAACCGGCTTACCCCCCAGTTTGCCAAGGTTGTAGGCGGAAACGTTTTGGAAAACCTTTGGAAAACGCCCCCATTGCCCCAGGATAGTTGTTTTAAGACTAAAACACTTTTCCCGTAACTCGAACTTCATCCACCATTTTTATTTTTCCAAATTCCATTCCGTCCCGAACATCCCCATTTTCGCAAGATAATCGAACCCATTCGGGTCGTAAATATTTCTTTGCAGGCGAAAAATGTCCGAAAAATCGAACCGCTTTTTCCATACACCGAGCCAGAGCTTTGATATGGGGCCTGGTAAGGTGAAATTCGCTCCCGGGACGGTGACGCCGCCACTCAGGAGGTCGGTCGAGTTGGAAACGATCGAACGTCCTGCATCTGCTGGTGAGTTTTTGGGCTTGGGAATTAGAAATTAGAATTTATATTGCGTAATCGATTACGATCAGTCCATAAAGGAAAGAGGCTTGTTGGCACCTTTAAATCCACCAGAAACGTGGGAATTTTTTCTAGAAAAACGATCGAAACTGGGCTCGAAAAACTAGCGAGATACCTAAAAACCGAGGATCCAAAACCCTCCAAACCCCTTTAACCCCTGCAAACACATCATAAACCTCAATATCAATATGATCTCAATTTGGTCCTCCCCAATCACCCCAGAGTTGACTCAACAATGCACGATGCTCCTCCTCCCTCCCTCCCCCTCTCCAACCCATCGCTTGCGATTACCATATTTTATGGCCCACTTCCATCCCATCCGCCACCGACCATTTTGACAGCCTCGAAACGGGTCAATTCCCCAAATATCAATATTCGCCTACCACCCACCCCCAAAAATGCGCCGCTTTTCTACCGAAGTCGAAAAGGCCGCCCAGGAAGTCATTGACCACTTTGAACGGGCCGTTCAAGGGGTTGAGCACGGTTTTCGAGATTTTAGATTCATTGAAACTGTTTTTTAGAACCGCCGAAGCCACGGCTCGGTGCTGGTCGTGCTAAGGTGCACCCAAGCGACGTAAAACTCGGCCGGACAGTCAGCTCGCCGTCTCTCGACAAAATCGGTAAGCATTGGGCAGTTTGACCTCAGAATGGTTCTGCAAATATTGACCTGCTATTAATGTTGATGGGATGATTGTGAGGGTGTTTCTAGGCGAAACGTTTTTCGGCAAAACGCCCGCGAAGTTCGAACCGCGTCTGCCAACCATTGAACAGAAGAATTATCTGCGAACGGATACGCCGAGTAAGTGGATTAGGATGTTAATTAGGGTTGCAAAGGGAGATAGGCTTGCGCTCAAGGTAAGGTTCAGGTATATGCTTAGGATAACGCAAAGGCTAAGCCCTAGGCTTGGGCTTATGATGCTCAATTTAGTCAGAGCTTCCAAAAATGCTAAAGATTTAAATATGAGTTTCAGAAAAAGTACTAATCCATAGAGACCAGGGTTGAAAAACCGCTCCGCGGCTTTTCAACCCTGGCCCCGTCTAGGATCGATGAAGTTATTGACTTTGCATAATTCTTGCCAAAAACCGCTTACCAAAAAAAAGGAAAAGCGCGCCCTCTCTTCCTTTTTATAAACCATGCCCACTTCCGCCGTATGCTAATTGCTTCCTAACAAAGAGGTTGGCCGAAAACTTTACAAAAAACTAATTTTAATATCGAAAATAGCAATTTTTCAAACCTTTTATGTGTGTGCAGTCGATTCCGGCCCCTTCTTTACCCTATGACGTTTCTTCCCTACCGAAAAAATGCTTCCCTGAGGCTGTAGGTGCGGAACATCCAAACGGAAGTGCATGCAAATATACACACACACACAGACACTATTTTTTTATATATAGTAGGAGAGCGTGTCAAAGTTGATATGGGTACTCCTAACTCCCCGACTTGCTCTCTTTCGAGCTCTCCCGCTCTCGCTCTTTCTTTCTCTCTTTCTCTCACTCCCTCTCCCCCTCTCTCCTTCTCTCCCTCTCGTTCTCTCGTTAAGGTCCCAACTTCCTGAACCCAAATACCTATCTCAATTTGGGTCATCTTTTAGCACACCAGGCCATGATTCGATTTACCCTTTCCCGGCGTTCGCATTTTCTGTCGTAGACGTAGAGGAAGCCAGTGCAAATGTGGAAATGGCTTTTTGCTGTGCCCCCTCCAGTGCCCAGCTGTTCTTTATTTGGAGTCCACTCGAGGGCCCCCTAGGCCCCTTGGCCCCATCCGCTCCCACCACCCGGCTAGCATCTTGCATCGGTCGCGCTGGCCCCTCTAACGTGTCTAACAGCACCCAGGAAACGTTACTTTTTGATAGCCGTTGGGCGAGGGGGTATATGTTACGATTTTGACGGACAAATAATAAATTTTAGCTAGAAATTTTAGGGAAATTACGTAAATTTGTTAGCTAATCTCCTTTTGAACTGAACTTTTGAGACGCGACGTAAAATTGTTAAATTTTTCCACCCACAAATTTACAGTTCAAGACACCCAGCTATGAAAAAGCTATGGAAATAATAAAAATTGTCCCTTTGCACTTTGAAACATGCACTTTCTAAATTTTTAGATATCCAAAGAAACTTTTGAAAATAAGAATAAATCTAAAACATCATTTTTCGACGAAAATCTTGCAATTCCATCCTTATTTACCCCTGTTGAAAACCGCTTGTTGTCCGGTTCCTAATGCTACGTCAGCTGTCCACCCCACCCTCGCCCTACTTCTTCGATTATTTTCTTCTTCTTTTCCCTCTGTTCCTCATTTCCAAATCTTTCCCCAGATGGTGCTCCCCCGGCAACAATATTCCCTAGACGAAACGGCGCTTCCAGAGTTGAAAAATTTAATTAATAGACATGGTAAGGGGAAATTAAGACTAAAAATTTGCATAAAATTTATTTCAAAACATAAAAAATCATTTTAGAACTGCTATTCAACGACCAGAGCTCATCAATGAAAACTTCAATGGTGTCGTTACCTCATCAAAACAGCTCTCCCTTAGGCCAGGTAATTCCAGAACTTTTTATTCCGATTTTTTCGATACTAGGAACATACTGTTGGTTTTTTTTGCCATTTTCCCATGATGCCTCGTCCTTAATCCATAATCCATAATCCGATTCGCGCCTCACCAAAGCCGCGCCGCACGAAAAAAACGCGGTGCATCCGCGCTGGTTGTATATCTGGGGTGGGAACAGGTTGTTTTGACCTCTCTTGTTGTCTCCGCCAAAAGACGAGATAGATCCGCTTTTATCTCAAAAGATCGTCAACCGCGATAAGGTCAGCCCGGCGCTAAAAATGGAATTGTCGACGTTCAGAACATATTCGTTACCAATTCAGACTAGATATGTTAAGAACACGGTGATGCCCGCCCCGCAATCGTTGCCATCGTCTACTATGGGCCCCACGATTATGGTCACCAAGGAGAAGAACAGGTTTGAGAATTTTTTAGTAGTTTTTGATTCAAATGAGGCGTTGGTTTTCTAAAAAAATGAAAATTTGGCGATATTCAAGGCAGTGTGACACCTGGGACATCACCGGTCTTTTGATCAATTTAATTGATTACAACGGAATGAGTTCCAACGATTTTTCTCAATTGCCACGTAATTTCTGAATCCCTTATTAATTTTAATTAAACTGAATTAAACACCTGGGTCCGTCAAATTTTACAGATTTTGATTTTATTTATTCTCAGTGTTTTCTTCATCTTCATTCATTTTAAAGGTGTTGTGACAACTGGGATTTTTACCTTTTCTTCTCTCTTTGCGAAAACAACGCTATTTCCAAATTTTAAAGGCGGTGTGACAACTCAGATTTTTCATTTTATGAATTTTTAGGTCATTGTTACCATAATAACTGTAAAACTAACTTCTCAAAGCGATTTTTAACTGCAGTCTGATTATATGATTATATTTAATCTGAGTATGCACATCTGATTTTTGCCCTTTATTGAGTAACTTTCTGCAAACTTTTTCTATTTTAGGATTTATTTAATAAGAGTGCAACATCAACCTTTTAAATCCAATCTCATCCCCAGGATTATCGCAAAAAGATAGATACCCCCATCAAATCCCTCTATTCCTATCTTCCTCCACCAAATATCCGCGAAATTCCCCCCAGACCTCCCGACCCCCAGATATAAATCCATCTTGGGGGCAAGGTCACAGCGTTCTTCACCCCCCGTCATTCTCAGCAGAAGCACATTTCCAATTGTTCCAACATTCCCTGGCTGCTATTGGCTCGTCTAGGGTGTAGAGGATTCTAAAGAAATAGTCAATACGTTGGCGGGCTTAGTCCGGGGGCTTTTCTTTGAAGCTTTCACAGGGGTATCTCGGATGTTTGCGCCTCTTTTCTGTCTTTTTTTTGCAACCCGGTCGTCTTTCTGACAGTCCAGGGACTGCGGTTTTTGTGAATTTGGCGTATTGACGTATGGAAGATGGTTAGATGACTAAATTTGCATATTTCTATCAATCAAGCTAGTTTTCTACGTCTCCGAGTGGTTTTGCAGTTTTTGAGACATGCTATGCTCAGAATTGGCATCACAAAACTTGATTTTTACTTAAAAACGAGAAGTGAACTCAATAAATTTACATATATCTTTACCGTAAAAATTCTATAAATCTCATTCAAAAGCTATTTTGCTCGGCTATGGTAGCAGTTTTCTTTTTTAAACGTGTAAATTGCTGAAATTTCAAGCTCTATCGATTGATTCAGAAACTTGAAAAACGATACTTTGCGGGCATTTCTCAATTTACATAATTTCATTTTAAAAATTTAGGTATGAACATTTACGGATTAAGCATCAAAAATTTTGTCAAATCCGTCCTTTCCCTACAATCCATCTTATCCCCATCAAGCTCCCCCACCGGCCGTCCACTTCCACTTTCACATGCATATTTGCTGCTTTGTCTGTCGGACCCCCCACCAACCATCATGTCTCACTCTATTTTTTCATCGGCAAATCGTTCGAATCGATTCCCGGGCCCGGGCTTGCTTTCCCCCTTTTCCGATTCTATCCCCTCTGCCCGCCACTGCCCACCAGCTTCCGCTACATTTTATGGCTTACATATAAGCGGTTATGCAAAGCAGCATATTCTAGAATGGAGGCTTTGCATTTAGAGAGTTTTTTGGGATATTTTTGGAAGTTTAAAGTTTGGGAAATTTGGGATTACTGTAAACGTCGTGATAGATGGCTTTTTCTCTCCACAACAGGGCTTAATGGCAATTATTTATGCAAATTTCCGGCTATTAATCGTATTTCCAATTAGAATTCCGCTGGATTAATGTCTTTTGGTTGATTTTTGGAGTATCTTTGATTTTTCTGGTTAGAGAGCTTACTGTAAAGGAACATTTATCAATGTTTTAGGCAATTTTCGGTGACCTTATGATTGCCTGACTTTGAAAAGAGATGGTAATTTGAATCCTTCTCAATTTTTTGCATGCTTATATTAATAAAAGGGTGCGATAACTGTAAAGCTGAAACGTATGGCTTTCGTTATGCAAATTTCGATTAGCTGATGGTTTAACGAGGTGGAAACCAGTCTTTGCGATTAAAATTTCTCTACTTTCCGCATTCTTATGTCTTATTCGCTGGAATTACACTCGTGGAATGTTCTCTACTCACTGATTTTTTTGTACTTGCGAGCCTTAGAAATGCCATCAACGATTGGCACGGAATCAGTCCCGGAAAGCCAGCGGCTAACCACCGGACTTCACCAACCTTCCGTTTCCTATGACGATCGTTTGAATGATTTGGATGATGATGCGAGGACTGTTTCCTCAAATCCGCGAAATCATATCACTGATAGACCCCGGGCAGGGGTGCCGATTGGCCAGGTGGCTATTTTTAATGAAATTTGATTAGTCCGTAGCTCACTGTATGATATTTCACTGTTTATTATAGATTAGCGTTTTGACACCATTCAAATACAAACTGGAGCGAAGTGTTGTAAATTACAGGTCTAGCTTGTTTTCAGTTTGGCATTTTTGCTATTTCCATTGAAACTGTAGATAACAGCAAAATTTGCATTATTGAGTCTACAGTAATAAACATCGTAAGCTACGCTACGCTCCTCCTTACGCTATACTAGTCAGTTCGATGGGTCTCCTCACACAGTCTCATCCAGCTTCACGCTCCTCCTCCCGCTTCAAAAGAGCCGCCCCAGCGATCTCTGTCCACCCGGTATTTTTGCTTATATTATCATTAAGAAAAGGGTATTAAAGAGTTAGTAAAAGCAAACCAGCACCTCTAGGTTTTTCAAAAAACGTTTTTAATTCAGATTTTTTTAGCCATCGCGGCGAGCTTTCCATGGCCGAAAAGTACCATTATGATCTCTCAAAAGCCCAGCTGAAGGCGTCGTCCAGAATCTCGGCTTTGTTAGCCGGTTTTGCGATGGTAGATTGAGAATCAACTATTAAGAGAATTTTTACGTTTTAGGTAGCACTGGTCGAGCTACAGTACGACGAGACAATCTCGCATGGGTTGTTGGTGGTGTTAGGCGTGGTAAGTGAAAATTAATGTTGTACTTACAAAATTCAGGTAACAACGCTGCTCGTCTCAGTCCATTTGCTCGCCTTGATGATGTCGACCTGTATTTTGCCCTATATGGAAGCTTCCGGTGCCACGAAGGATTCACCGCATCAGAGGCTGAAGTTTGTAGTTTGGGTTAAGCTCAGGCATATGCCTAGGTTTATACTTGGGCTCAGGCTCAGGCTTAGGCTTAGGCTTAGGTTTAGGGTTAGGCTTAGGTTTAGGCTTAGGCTTAGGTTTAGGCTTAGGCTTAGGCTTAGGCTTAGGTTGCCTAAACGTAGATAACTAAACTAAAACTAAACTGGGGTTTTTTCAGGTTCTTTGTCGATCTCGCCTGGCTCTTCTCAACCTGCATTGGGCTTCTCCTTTTCCTCATCGAAATCGGAGTCATCTTCTTCGTCAAATTCGTCTCCGTCAAGTACAACACAGCAGCCTACATTACAACAGCCTTATTAGGTAATTTTCTGTTAACTAAAAGAATACAAAATTTGTTTTTAGTCCCGGTTGTCGTCATTTTTGTCGTTTTCTCCTATCTAATCCACAAAAAGCGCACCACGCATTCGCTCGAAAGAATAAAGGATAAGGTAAAAACCCATAGTATAATTCAAATTATTTATGCAAATTTAGGTGGCCGGACTCAACGAGATCTTCGAGGCTTAAAAATCTACTATTTTTTAATTTGTTTTCATTAGTTTTTCTTTGTTTTCCTCTCCCATACGGGTCTTGTATTCCAGCTCAACTGGCAGGCAGCATATCTAATACCGGAATCATCTGAATTTTCTCTTTTTTTTTGTTTATACAATATGTATTGAAATAAATGCTTTGATTTATAAATTAACAACTGCGTGAAAATTGCAATTATTGGTCGCCACGGTCAAAATAGAGAATTCAGTGGCTAGTGCGTCAGCAACAAGGGCAAAGCAGCGGAGATAAGGCCATCTAATCGGGCTTGTTTCGGCGCTAGGCTCTGGATCGATTCTAGTTGCCTTCCGTCGCGGGGTTTTACTGTATTTTGAGCGTATTTTAGGGTTTTTAAAATATATTGGTTACCGTACGCACGAAAGCACTCAAGAAATTTCTGTTTTTCAAGCTAAGAAAGCTTTACAAATTATTTATTGGCGCATAGCGTATGTTTTTATTTCTCGACACTTCCAGCATCTCTTATTCATCAAATTATGACATGACAGTTGTGTAGTCTGTCTATTTTTTGTGGTGTAGCGTCCCGGAATTTGTTTTTACGATGCTGACCTGAACCTTACGATTTTTTGAGGTTTTACTTATATAGAAGATCTTTAGAATGCCAAGGTCACACTCCCCATCAGTTGGTCACAACCAGGCAGCCAGCGTCTTGACGCCAATCATAAAATTCGACCGCCTGGCTTCATCCTCATCCTGTGATGATGTGCAAATGACATGGCATGGGCAATCGGACAGATTCGAGAGGAGAAAGTGAGTTTAGATCTATAGTTTCATACCTTAAATACCTTTTTAATGACGTTTTCGACTTGTTTTTTTTCTCTATTTTGCCCATCGGCCATTTATTTCCTTCCTATGCTAATCGATGGGCCGATGAATCCCAGGGTGACGCATCAAATTCAGACCCCCCACCAGCCCCCACAAACGACCAATCTTTACGGCCTAGCAATGGCGCGCCCCTGGGCAATGAAAAACGCGAGGGGTCTAGCAGGGATTTGTTGCCTTTTCGTGGAAATTTGGGGTTTTTAGGACTTTATGCTCATGACTTCGCCATTTTCCTTTTTTGTGGGGTTTTGGGGTTCAGTTAGAATTGGACAAATCTCGCCCCGGACGATGAAAAATTACAGGATGTTTAGCTTGAATTCGTTGCTTTTTGCTAGAAAATTAAAGTTTTGTAGATTCTGTGCCAATGATTCTGTGATTGTCAATTTCTCTTCCTTCTATGCTTTACAAAATCTTGATTTTTGGAAATCTCGAAATGCCAGATTCTGGTTTTGACAAAATCACGGATTTGTCCAATAAAACCCTAATTTTCCTAGCCAGAATTTGTCTTTTTTCGTAAAAATTTATCCTTTAAATTTCTCCCCTAGAATTAGTCATTTCCTCCCTCTTTTTTCTGCGCTTCTTTGTTGTGAGGGGCCAAATGCCAAATGCTGTTTTGTGAGGGGAAAACATCTTCTCACCGTTTGCCAAGCGAATTGAGGGACTGGTCGACTGGCGGCTTATTAGAAGCAGATGCGCTAAATAATCGTTTCCGGTTGACTACTGTTTAGGCGTCATTTCGACTTTTTTGTTATGGCTACTTTATTGTATGTTTTTTTGACCGATGAGAGAGTTTGTGGATAGGAATGTAAATACCGGAAAAGCAGTAAAAAAAACGAAGTCTATATGTCTAAAAACCTTTTAAATAGTTTCCTCAATTCAAAAACCTTCCCTGATGATTTTTCAAAGTCTGATTTGTTTAAAACGTGTTTCCATAAATATACTTTAAGCTTTTAACTTTGGAAGCCATTGACTCCACTTCAGATCTCTAGAAAACAGTTGGAAGCATATTTACAAGCTTTTAGAAATTAAAAATCTATTAAATAAAAAACGTTGCACAAAAACTAGCATGCAAAGCAGCTGATTTTCCATTTTTTCTATGCCGTTCTTGCCATTTCTCTCCTCTAACGATAAGAAATTCGCGCCTTTTTGCTTTCTTTTCTAACCTCGTCATCTAGACCGGAACAATGCGCCGATCAGCCGGCTTATACAATCTGAGTGTCAGTCTCCATGCTTTGCACGGGGGGATTTTCGTCTTGAGAGCAACTTGACCGCCTTTTTGATAAGGCTCTCTTTTATGCCGATTCCTTTTGGGGTGTGAGAAGCCTCGCTCCTATGTTTGCCTCCAATTCACACCTTCTCAAAAACGACCCCATCCTATGGGATGGTCTCTTTTCGGGATTGTTTTTCCGGGGGGTTGTTAGGTTGTTCGCGGGGGATCGGAAGGGCCGTATCAGGCTCATGTTCTGGCATTTATTGCTTTTTACTGGCGGGATGGGACTTCGATTAGCCGCCGCTGACTCAAAAGCGCATTTCGGTCACCTGGTGCAAATTTCTACACCCTTCTTGATTCGGGCTTTAATTAACATATTCTGAGATGCCTTGTACTATTGGGTAGGTGGCGATCTGGGGAGGAGCAGGATTTTGGTGCCTTAAAGGGTTAAACCATGATATTGTTCAGTATGGATTTCTATGAGTTTTAAGCGCCCGCGATACGCAACGCACCTGTCCGCGATACGCAACGGACGACCCATTCAAGTGGTCGTATTCCGTTAGGCAATGTAAATTCAAAATTACGCGTTGCGTAAACAAAAAAGCCTTTAAAACCCTTTAAACAAAACGTAAAGCTCTAAATTTGCAAAATTCTGATTTCATAGTGATTTTCGACCCCGCGACACGCGACGCACACGTTGTGTAATTATCTTAAAGTGGCCCCAAACCGTTTCGCAATGGAAATGACGTGCCGCGGTTTCAACATAACCTGAATGAACTAGAAATAAAACTAGAAAACCCTTAGTTAAAGTTGTCTCTACCTTAAATCCCAAACATTCAGAATTCCTCGTTTTTATATTCAGCGCTCTCGCCGAAACACGTTCGGTACTCGACGACTGGAGCCCGGCGCGTCGCGGCCCGCATTTTTTACTGCCACAGGTAGGATAAGCATCTCTTGGACGTCTATTTTTTGGTTTTCCAGTTGGCAGACCGGAGCGGGTCGAAGGTCTCGCAGCTCTCATATGCCAGTAAGAGACAGGCGTCGCTACAATCGTTGCTAGATACGAACTATCCGGACGAGATGGAAAGGTAAGCATCATTCGAATTCGTATGCAAATTTTGGTTTTAGACATCGTGGACCTCTTTCCTTGGCAGAGGAATATAACTACAAGCTGAGCCGAGCTCAGCTGAAGTCTTCTTCAAATACTTCGGCGCTTATTGTGGGATTCGCTATGGTAGGTCCTTATCTCAAGGGATGGTTCGGCAGGATTTTTGCTACTTTTGCTGTCCTACCCCCTTTAAAATGGCGTAACCCGTTACAAAGCCACTTTTAGGTAGCACTTGTCGAGCTCCACTACGATGAACAAACCCCTAAAGCGTTGCTGATCGTTCTCGGAGTGGTATAATCAGCCTTAAAAACCTAATCTCGATGATTCAGGTAACTACCCTCCTCGTATCAGTCCACCTACTCGCCCTCATGATGTCAACATGTATCCTCCCGTACATGGAAGCAACCGGAGCTACGCAAGACTCCCCTCACCTACAGCTATCGTAAACTAAGCCTACAGATTGGTACCTAGTTTTTCAGCTTCTTCATCAAGCTATCATGGCTTTTCTCAACATGCATCGGCCTGATATTGTTCTTGGTCGAAATTGGAGTCATTTGCTATATAAAATTTACAAATATTCACTTCCCCCTTGCCGCCTATATCACGACAGCGATGATGAGTACGTTTTTTGATACTTTTATCATCTCAAAATTCTATTACAGTACCCGTCTTCATCATTTTCGTGTGGATTTCGTATTTGATCCACAAGAATCGGACTTCACATTCCATTGAGCGTATTCGTACCAAGGTAAAATCAATAAATTTCGGGCTAATCTTCAATTCAGGTTGCTGGACTAACGAGTCTGCTGGATCCGGAAAAGGGCCCATCTTACGGTGTGAAGGATTTGTAAATTGGTTGTTTTGTATTGATTTTGCATAACCTGTGATCATTTGCTGCCGGGTATGATGTATTTCTGTGTTTTTCTTCTTTATTAATAAACCGGTTTTGATTATCTAAAACACCGATGACGAAAAGAAAAACGGTTGCAAAATTGGCTACTGATAAGAAGGGGGAAGTAGCCAAATGAGTATCGATTTTTTTGGTAATACGCTAATAAGCGGTGTTTCGATACCTAGCGCATTTGATAGAGAATTGAATTTTAAACAAGTCTGGGTACTTTATTTTTTGCGAAATAATGATCGGGTTTTTAAATTTACAAAAACTTTTTTCTACAGAAAACTACGCAACTGTCCATCCCAACGGCTAGCCCAATCAAAAGATCAGACACGCCGTTGAAGAGTGTGGCTGCTGTAGCTGCCAGCCCTGGCAAAAGGGGGAAACTCAAATAGTGCACGATGAGGGGGTGAGGAGGTGTCGAAGGGAAGGGCCAAATATCACCGCCTGGCCTGGCCGACTTGTTTGGCACCGGTCTTGCGGTCTACGGCTCGATCTACCCGATACCACATAAGGGCCCAGTGGCCACGGTTTTCGATCGGCTACCAAAAATTATTTTAACGTTTTTATGTTATTTGACCTTGAATTCAAATAGAATACGATAAATTAAAGGCACCGGCAAGTCAGGCTGGCGGTACTTACACCACCTAAGCACACGTTATGACCCAGCCCATTTGTGCAGAATTTTTGCTGATTCGAACCCGCTCAATTTTTGCCAATAGCCCGATTTAAAAAGTTACGGCGATTAAGATCATATTGAGCCCGCGGGCGGCATCTCAGCCCAAGATTTTGTTTAATATGCCAATCCATTTAAATAGCCTATCTTGTAGAGAATTTCTTTGATTTGAATGTATATTCATTACTACGCCATCGATGACACTTATGGGAGTGTGAAATAGCCGTTCACCATTCCCATACAAAAACGAAGTCCATACCAAGTACGTCGATTTTCGATTTCCAACAATTTTGAGTTGAATAGCTCATTCGATAGAAAAATTTTCTGAATACGATGCGATATTCGTTTTGATGATCGGCCGAAACGCAAAATAAATGGCTTTGAAGTTGACAAATTTGGGTGGAACTTTGAAGCCCTATAACTTTTTAACGAGCTATTTGGCAAATGGCAGCGGATTCGAATCAGCGAAAATTCTGCACAATGGCCGGTCCCATAAGAAACGCCACACCTCGGGTGGTTCCCTTGTTAGTTCAGTTGAATTATTATGTTAGATGTCACGTAAAAACCAAGTTTAGCCCAGTTTTTGATGCTTTTTATCAATCCTCGATCACTTTCACCAAAGCCCCTTATTTTTCGAAATTATGACAAATTTTTCAGTTGTTAATTGAGGTTGTAAAAACCACGTTTTGCTGAAAAAAGACTTATGTCTCCCAAAATATTGATCGAAAATCAAAACCGACTTCAGATGCGGAATCCGCATAAAAGACTGATCTTGATAAAATACCGAAAAGCCAATTCCTCTAAATTCCTAGTCTAAATCCCACGCATTCCCCAATTCCTCCAAATTCAAATTAAAACCGACCCCCCCCGCCCGTCAGCAGCACCACCCTTTTAAGCTAACCCCTAAAACACACCCAGAGGGGCGGTAAAAAGAGTTGGTCGCAAGGGTTTGGTGGCTATCAGGGGGAAAAGCCGTGACAAGTTTGAGAGTGGAGCTTCGAGAGGGGCGAACACGCCCCAGCAGGCCTCCCCTTCCTTATCTCAGCGTCCGGGGGCTCGGCTTCTGCCTCCGGCCACGCCAACACGCTAATATTTTTGGGTTCCGGATCTGGTTTTTAGTGCTTTTTGGGATGTTAAATTTTATGTCATTTGTCGGATTATTGTAGTTTGAATTTTGGAAGGTTGGGCGTAGGTACTGTAGGCTTCTCATTTGTGTGTTTTGAAAGGTCGGGCAGCTGAATCAACGCGCTAGTTTTTGTATTGTGGAATAGATTAAAACTCATATGTCGGCTACGCGTTACGCTTAGAACCTATAGCCTTTAAAATCCATAGATTTGCCTTCACAATCCCTTTAATCTCGCTTTTTAAAGGGAGAGCCACAGATTAGTTTTCAGAATCCAAGAGTTCCACTCCAGTCCCTTATTTTTCAATTTTTCACCTAACATCCCACACCATTCCTCCGAACACCCCAACTGTATTCTGTTCTGGTGCGTACTTTTTTCTCGCGCGCGTGAACATTGGCAGCTGTGGCCACCACCCAACAAGCCACATTGTCAGCTGAAGGGACTCAAGTTGTCTCTGCTTGCCCCAACAACCATAAAAACAGATCCAGTCTCCAATCGGAGAACGGAGGGACCGTAGCGAGGGCCCTGTCGCTCTCTCTCCCTCTCTCTCTCTCCCTCACTCTCCCTATCGCTCTCTCGCCCTGGACACCACCATCTGTGCGTTCGTTTCTATTTGTGCGACACACGTCTAGCGGCGTTATCTGTGTGAAGGGGGAGGATGGAAAGGGAGGAGGAGGAAGCCTGTTCCATTCATTCTATAGATGGGATGGTATTCATGTTGCGGTCATGCGCCTTTAGCCGGATGGTCTTAGTATCGGGCGGTCGTAGAGGAGGTGAACTTTTGGGCACTTGCACTTGTGTCTCGATGTCTTGATGTCGCTACAAAAATTTATGCTTTTTGAATCTTTCTTTAAGAGCATTTTAAAAGGCCATTGAAGTCAAGAAGCTGATACTGTTTGAAGGATCTATAAAAAGAGTGTTTCCTTGTGTAGAATTTCCAAAAAGCCACTTTTGAATAGCGTAACTCAACTCAACTCGTCTCGATACTTTAAGACTTTAAGACCTCTGGCATCTCTTCCGCAGCTTTTTCTTGAACTTAAACTTTCTAAAAGCTCTTTTTCTGCTTTTAAATTACTATAAATTGTTTTTCTAGCTTCCTACCTGTTTTAAAGACGCCATGACAGCCACCAATGCTTGAATTTTGTCAATTTAAAAACTTGAAAACCACCTCTCAACCCCACATTGCCTCATCAAATACATCCACCCCTCTTTTTGCCATCCGATACAACATCAACCTGCATCTTAAAGACCACTCGAAGAACCTCTGTGCTTCTCCGGGCCCTCCTCTCTCCCTATGAACCCTAGGTTAAACAACGACCTGCCCGGGCCAACAGTCCACAAAAAGGGAGAAGGACTTCAGGGCCCACTTTCGGGGGGAATGTTTCGCTGAACTTTCATATGCCAGTTTTTGGGTTGTATAAGCGGGTTAGGGGGTGGTGGCAGGTTGCCAAAAATGAGGGGTTGGTTATGGATTCGAAAAAAGGGGTGAAGCGGAAGGTCCTGGAAATTGGGATATTGGTTAAATTTAGGAGTTACGTAAATCTGGTTACGTTACGCTACTCTTTACACCGGTTTTTCTCAATCCAAATTACTAATGATCCATTCCACAACCCCCCGCCATTGCCGCCGGTCACCGGCTTCAAGTGAAGGGTCGCCGCGCCGGGGGTGTGAGTAGGTGGGGGTGGGGGTGTCAGTCCGGTACTTGGGACAATGGGCCACTTTGTCCCACTGGCCGATGACGCCGCCGAGAGCCCCACTTCTCTACGAATGCCAGGCGACACCTCGGACCCGACGTGTGACCTGTAGCACTACACGGCACACCACCAGACACCATTTGTCTAGCCAGCTAATGATTCATTCTCATGGGTTTAGGCTTAGGCTTAGGCTTAGGATTAATCTTACGTTTATTACTTCGCCTAGAACCCTGGTAGCGTATTAATGATACATCTCTCTACCACCAAGCGGAACCTCCCAAACCCCACATCCAATACACTCATTTCCATTGACCTTTGGCTTCTGCCGCCACCCAACCACTTGAGAGGCCCTTTAGTCGTTTTCGGTTGTCGGCTAGGGATGGCATTCAGCTGGTGCTCCTCCTCCTCGGCCTCCTCACCCCTAGCCTCTCACCCTCCCCATGGCAGCATTTCCGAAGCCGTGCCCCCAGATGCTCCCCCTAATTGCCCTCCTTCAGGCCACACAACCGGCCTACCCTCTCCCCTCCTCCACCTCTTGCTCCTCTACTTTGAGCTTAGATGAAATACCTGCGACTCTAGAAGTACTTCGGGGAGTCGGAGCTGCTTGCCAGGGTTTCGCTCATTGGGCTTTGGGGTTTGGCTTTGGTTAGGAATTGAATTTCGAAGACTAGGTTTCAGTTTTGCATTTTTTGGGTAATTTGCATCCAAATTGCCTACGGCACTTAAACACTGCCCCATCCTTCGGTATTAATCGATATTTTTCGAGGGGGAGTTGATAACACCCCCAAAGGGCACCGATCTGGGCGTAGATTGGCCCGGCCACGCCCAGGGCAGCACCTGGCATTCCGGTTTGGTATGCAAATTAGGGTAAAAAGATGTTTTCTCTGACGGTTCGACATTTCCTTTACATTAATAATCATTCCCCATATTTATATTGCCGATAATTTTGTCCTTAAGCCTAAAAAAACGCAGATTTCAAACCACCAGTTTTTTTTCTTCCGCTCAAAAATCAAATATTGGCTTCCATTCCTTGGCCCTTTGGGCCCAGTGGCCCTGGTAACAGAAAGTGGCTCTCCTCAATGCCTGCCAGCTATCCTGGGCCCTCCCCGCTAGGGCCCAATCTCTCCCTCGTTCTCCCTCACCCTGGGCCCCCCAGCTGTCCCGCGGCCCAATGACCCGGCGCATTTTATTACGACCCGATAGCCTGGCTTTAGCTCTTGCTCCTTATCGTTTGATGAGGAATTTATTGCTAGATATTAAGGGGCAGCGAAATTAAGATTGATTTGCATATTTCTACTCGATTTGCTGGCCATGTGATTATGCAAATTCTCGCCTTGCCTTTCCAATCGTTTCCGGTTTGTTTTTGGGGTAATATTTTGGCATGCGGCAGTCAAATGACCTCACTTCACCCCCAACCCAACAGCTATAGGGGCAACCAGTTACGATTAGTATTGCTCTGCCAAACCGGCCGTTGGGGGAGTCATATCGGATTTCGCGGGGCCAGGATTGGGTTCGCGCACAGCTGCGTGGGTTTTTTCGGATTCTGGGAAGTTTAATGAGGTTAGAAGGGCCAGATCTCTTTTCACATTGTTTAAAAAACTGAAAGAATAAGTCAAAACCCGTTTTCAAGTTTTTTCTCGTATCTTCAACGCTTTCTACGTTTTTTAGGCTCGCCTTTCAAGAGCTACTATTCCGTTACACTACAAAAAACACCACGATCACCACGACCAGTTTCTCTTGTGTGTCAAAGTTGGTGCTAGCCCCGAGAAGCACATGCTGTGTTTACATAAGGCCATCGATTCACACGTAGGGTCGGCCGAGGGGGGGGGGTGGGTGAGGAAGAAAGTTAGTGCTTGGGCTAACAAATGCATAACCTTGGTCCGGAATTGGGTAGTGCGCCGGAATGGCCAAAATCTTTCACTTCTGAATCTTCCGAATTTTCCGCTGAAAGCATTTGCATTGCTTTTAAGAATAGCTTAGTTACCTTTTACCCGAAACGTCCAAAAAGACGGCAAAATTTGCGTTTTCGATTATTTGGATTTTTTGCCTAGAATCCCTCAAATTCTAAATTTCTCGAATTTTCCGCTTAAGCTATCATCATACTTTTTAAAAATATCTCGACCTCCCACCTCAAGCTCCTCCCCATAATTTGAGCATGCCTGACCGGCCCCTCCTCCTTCTTCTCATCCCTTTGAGAGCCACCTCCAAAAAACGCGCCTCCCGTTTCATCGTGCGGCACGCCGGCCGATTTCTGGGATTGCGCATGGATTTGAATGGATCGGCCCTGAGGGGGAACAAGAGAGGGAGCAAGAGCGGCCTTGACTCCCCTGGAATAGTCAATGTTGAGAGTTATGGCCTCGGCTTTCCAGGCGCGGGAGGGGGGAATCTGGTACTTCTTTTCTCGAGGGGGGATGATGAGTCAGTGAACGCCGTTAGATAGGTCATCCTCTTACTGCCTTAGCAAATAGGTTGTCTGCGGCGTTCGAGGGGATGAAATATCGGTTGGAGCGGGAGGTTTCGAGTTATAGAAAATTTTTTAAAGATTCGAACGATTAAAAAGTTACCTCGCTTCCTAAGATGTTGCAAAATCGATTTTCAACTACGTTAAATAGCTCTTAAAACGCTTGCGGGCCTTGGGCGCTGGAATGGTGCGTTTGCATGAGAAATTTGACTTTCCGGTAGCTCGGGTCCTCGGACCCCCCACCACGCGCGAGCAACTCGCAAGAATGAGCAAATTTGTATTTTTTCACATTATGCAAATTAGCCCTCCGGGACCCCCAAAAATGAATAAAACCGGCTTTAACTTTGTAAACTTGTATTTTATCGAAATTCTGAGAACGTCATCGGAAACAGAAGAGTCGATTCCCCGGGTGACGGAGAATTAGGGCGTTTATGACGGGAAGGCCCTCAAACGGGCCTCGAAACTGACACCACACACAAAATACACGCCAAAATTAATAAGGGGACGTTTTTTAAATGATCTTCCCAGCTGAACTATCAATCCTCCGTTGACGATCTCGTGCTCCCCTTTTACTTTTGAGCTTTAGAAAATTGTCCGAACGTTTTGAAACAAAGATATTTTTGCAGTTAAATGACATGCTAGAAATCTAGGTTGAATCTTTAGCAGAATTCCAGCCCTTATTTTCCTGATCTAGTGGTCCCTGAACGGTTTGTTCCGGAAAATTACACGTCCCCTATTTTTGAGCTCCAGCTTTTCAATAATGCCGTCCCAATAAACTCCACAACAACAATATTTATACAATATTTTCCGGAGCCCCAAAAATGGATTAGCGGTGATCGGGCTCGGTGGGTAAATCCTAGCTCAACACCTCGACCACCCCCGAATTCTCGCACAAAAGGTGCTCATGCTCGCCGCGGGCTGAGCGCGACTTGTGGCTTTCCGGATTACCAGTTTGTGCTCGGTTCTCCGCGCCGTCTGGTAGCTCTTTTTTTCCTTCTCCTTCACTTTCCTCCCGATGCGCCTATCATTTTTATTGGGCTTGCTGGGGGGAGATACAACTCGAAGGCTAACGTATAGCTTTTCGATATCTTTAGAACTTTTCGGTATTATTTAAGATTTTTACAATGCCGAAAATTATCTTGAAAAGCCATTATTATCGTCAAAAAATATTGTCATGCTTTTTTCTATGTAGACGAAATTTTTTTTTTTTTATTTTTAATTTTTTTTTTTCATTTTTTTTTTTTTTTTTAATTAAGATTTTTTTTTTTTTTTATTATCAAAAACACAGGTTCTTGATTCTTCTTACAATTCTAAACTAGATTAATTCCAAGTCCTCAAAAACCATTATCGGTTCCAGCACTGGTTTTTGCAAAGCTGAATCTTAATTCTACTTTGTCAGAATCCGCTTTCGGGCATAAAAACTGATTCTCCAATAACATTCATCCCTCTCTTGATCTCCCTACCCCTCGAAAACCACTCTTTGTTCCGAAATGCTCCAAAAACCGTTGGGGCTATGTCTTGGTAGGCCGTGACGGGGTGGCCAGATGTGGCAGCTGTTGTCCATCAGGCCAGGCTGAGTGACATGGGGGGTTTTGGGGTTGAATTTATTGCGTTGTATGGTAATTTCGGGGATTTTGATGCATACATTAACGAGATAGAGATTTTAAAGAGCCCTGGAAATTCATATAATTATTTAAAAATTGATAATTTTGATTTATTTCATCTGGCTCCCAGAATTTCTGTGTTTGAACATTTTCGAGTTGAAAATTTAACCTAACCTGTTAGACTGCCTTAGTCTCACCTTTCTAAGTCGAATTCAGTGATTTTAAAGGTGCCATAACCTCATTTTTCTAATTTATGCGATAATTCATATCTACAGTGTCCATTCCATCACTTCCACTATCCAAATGGCTCTCATTTCCATGTTGGCCAGCTAGCCAAACAACTCACTCCACACCCCCCTGGGTGTCGATCCCTAACACCGACTATTGTCATAGCTGGGGGCGCTCAAATCCATCCTGCCACATTTCACCCCACCAAAATCCCCCAGCCAATTCTGTGAATCCACAATATCACTTCCCGCCTGCACTGGAGCGCATTTTTATAAAGCTCCCATGTTCGCGTTGTCTCCCAGGCGTTTCGGCATAGATTTCATTCCGACGGGCATTTCGGCATGGGAGACAGGGTTTATAGCTTGAGAATGGTGAATAATGATTCGGGGCGATTGATGGACTGCCAATAAATCTGTCAAAGGGTTTTTGAAAAGTAAATTTGAACGCTCAAATGATACACCGTGAGTAACTCTGAAATTGCAGTCTCTATCGCTCTCTCCATCCCCCTCTCTCTCTCTCTCTCTCTCTCTCTCTCTCTCTCTCTCTCTTTTTCTCTCGCTCTGCTTTTATATTGACCATTGTATGAACGTAATTCCAGTTTTTCCAGGAAACCCTCAGATGCGGTGAGATTAGACGATGGCAGCGGGCGTATCGCTTCCTCGGTCCGCACCCGTGCTCTACATCGCCATCGGGATCCTCATTGGACTTTGCATATCGATTATATCATCACCGGGCAATTCTGGATATGATACTACGTGAGTATAACATCAAAAATTCATAAAAATGTAATTAGAACGTAGACCAAACTAGTTAAACAAATTGTTCTTGCGTTCGAGGCCCTTTAAAATGCACTTAAAGCGTCGCAGACGGATACATTTACTTAATTCTCTCTGTGTAAATTGGTGTATACGTACTGGCGCTTAAACTTGCGTCTTTAAGCTATTTCCCGTATTAAAAATACTTTAATGAAATAAATTGCATAAATTGCATATTTTCAGCTTCTCCCGAGCCAGTCGGTTAGACCATGCAGGACACCACGACGCGCATGACGACGAGGCTGTAGATGACAGTCACGCCCCATTACAAGCCCTCCACTTTCATGGAAATTCCTCAGGACATGACCATGGTAAGTCCAACATTAATTTTTAAGTACAAACAATAAATTTCTAAATAAAAATAAATATGTTCCAGAAGAGTCAGCGGTGGCTGACGAGCTCTACAAGAAAGTACGGGTGCTGTGCTGGATTCTGACCGGAAAACAGAATCACGAGAAGCGGGCCAAGCATGTTAAGGTGGGCTTTGAGGTCAGATATTGAATTTGGTATATTTAAGGCAACATGGGCAAGGAGGTGTAATAAGCTGATCTTCATGTCGTCGGCTGAGGATCCGGAACTTGGGGCGATCAATATGAACGTTTCTGAGGGTCGGGATTATCTTTGGCAAAAGACGAAGACGGCATTCCAGATTGTTCACGATCGGCATTTGGTAGGCATCATTTTAAAATTTTTTAATAAAGCTTATAGAACGAATACGACTGGTTCTTAAAAGCCGACGACGATACCTACGTGGTTATGGAGAATTTACGATTTATGCTTTTGGCCCATGACCCCGAAGAGCCAGTGCATTTTGGGTAAGCCACCCAACCTCGAATTTTCAATGTGCAAATTTTCTAGATGCAAATTCAAGCCCTTCACAAAGCAGGGCTACATGAGTGGAGGTGCGGGCTATGTCTTGTCAAGAAAGGCGCTTCAAAAATTCATCGCTGAGGGCGTTAAAGACCCGACGAAGTGTTCCCAGGATCACGGCGGAGCTGAGGACGCTGAGATTGGAAAATGTTTGGAGAAGATTGGAGTGAAAGCGGGTGACAGCAGAGATTCTGAAGGACATCACAGGTATGAAAATATAGCTTGAGAGCTTATAAGTTGATATCGTTCAGATTCATGCCATTCGTCCCTGAGCACCATCTACTGCCCGGTCATGTTGATCCGACCTTTTGGTTCTGGCAGTACATCTATTATCCGTTTGATCAGGTATGAGTTCGCATTAGGAGAGTTATATAAAGCTTCCAGGGTCCAAACTGTTGCTCGGACTACGCAATTTCTTTCCACTACGTCAATTCTAATTTGATGTATGTGCTCGAGTACCTCATCTATCATCTCAAGCCGTTTGGTGTTGATCGGCCATTGACGTAAGTTGGATTGCGTTTAGGCTAGGTTAGGCTTAGGCTTAGGCTTAGCCCTAGAATGAAACTCAAAGCTTCCAATCCCCTTTTAGCGCTCGACCCGGCCAATCCCTTCTTGAAGCCGCTTACCAAGCCGCTCGTTCCAACATGGGAGCCGATGACGTCTTCCGAAATTCAACAAAATAACCTAGAAATCCCCTTTCATCCCCCTCTAGTCAATTTCCGCTTTAACTTATTTATTCCTGGGTGAACGCTCACAAAATAAGACAAAGTCAATAGCTACCAACGTGTAATTTTCCTAAATTCAAATTTTATTGTTAAATTCTAGAGCTCAATACCAGATTTAGCTTCATGCCTAGAATATTTCTCCTTGCGACGGTAAATGGCTTGCCCTCAACACTCTGTGATAGCTTCTGAATGCACAACAGTCCCAGATTTGCTGCTTTCTCGTCTTTACAACTTTCAAATTTGTTTATGAATTCCTGAGATCCTAAATATCCGCCTTATTCTACGGGAACCTAGTGGCCTATGTTGTCGATTTGCGAAACTCTTTCCAAAGCCCCCTCGTGACCATATGCTGGGTATCATGCTTTCTCTATATTTCTTCGTGTATTCATTTTTTGTGCTTGATAAAAATGATTTAATATTTTTATGGCAGTGCTAGCGTCACTTTTTACAGTCGAAGCGCACTTCACTTGCCGCGATGTCACCACAAACCTAAAATAAGGCGTAGAAGTGGAATTTTTTAGAAAATAGGGATCTGAATTCCTTACCTTCACGTAGGTAGCCGTTTTGTAATCTGCTTTATACTCGATAGTCTGTTTTCCAGAGGTGTCCAGGTCCAATTCGTAGCTCGAACTCCCGAATCTAGGCGGGATTCAATTCTTTTCGAACCAACCCTACGTGATCCGATATTGAAAACTTTCGCACGGTGTGGTGATCGCAGGACCAACTTTCTTATCCGTGATCTTGGCATCAACTCTAAAATTTAAAGGCGAAGCAAATATAATATTATCTATAGGCCTATATATGCAATATAACCAGTTCTGAGCCTACTTCTCGCGTATCAATATCTCGTTGGCTGGACGCAACTTATGGACGATGGCCATCGGCATGTGCTTGTAGGTGGTTTCATCACAACTGTCCTGGTCACCCAAAACAATGCGGAACCTTTTGAATTATGAAGCATAATCACAAAATTAACCTTACTCCGAAGCCCTAGCGTTTACCGTCCCATTGACTATCACCGAGCATTTGGCAACGCATTTTGGGTCGAATGTCATTGCTAGAAACGATTTGTGTAGATTTTTGCGCAAAGAAATGTTTCATATTAACTTACTATGTATCCCCGCGTATTTGGTGCAGTCTCCATCCTTGGGTGGCACTGTAGAAGAGACAATAACTGGCGGATTGGGTGGTTTGGGTGTAAGAGTGGTTTTGGTGGTAGTGGTTGTGGTTGTCGTCGTAGTAGTGGTGGTTGTCGTAGTCGTCGTGGCTGTTGTAGTCGTTGTAGTCGTTATAGTCGTTGTGGTCGTGGTAGTTGTCGTCGTCGTCGGAGTCGTCGCAGGAGCCGGAGGTGGCGTGACATATATCATCCCGCAGTCGTGGTAATACGGGCCCTTCAGATGAGTAAACGGAAATCCGCCGCGCACGCAGAGCTAAAAAACCCTAATAAATTTTTTGTCACCAGGACCTTCGATCCGCGACTTCAGTGACCTACCGCTGCCATATCGAAATAATTATTCTGCGACCACCCTTCTGGTGGCGCGATGCTAAGTTGAGTCTTTTTCCCATACGTATCTATTACAAAACCGTAAATCCCGGCGGAGTGCTGCCTTGAAAAAAATTAAAAACGTGATTTGGTACAAATTCCTACCAGATTGCCACCGACGTAAGTTGGCCTGGTTCGGAATAATATCTTACCCAGCCATCGCTGACCATGTCGAGGGGACTTCCATCCCAATTGCGAATTGGCAATTCGCCATACCCCTAAAGCCAGAAGATAATCTGAATATTACGTCAGGACCCCTAGCGATCGAACCGCGACGAGACAACTGTGTTTTAAGCGTATCGTTATACTCACTTGGATCCCTTTTCGAAAATGAAGAGCCCCGCTCGCCATATTGATCTCCACCATCAACTCATTCTGATTAAATTCACATTGGTTCCGCAGTCCCTTGCTTCCAAAGTTAAGATAAAGGCTAAATCGTTTGAGGTTGGCAAAGACAAGGTAACCTAGTAACATGGTGCTGCTTGAATTGCCACATCAAACATTGTCTCGGTTTCGGTAGTTCCACATTCCAAGATTGCGCTTGGACCAGAGATAAAAATATGAATCCGAGAGTCCAGGGCAAAATCATGGGGAGCGATGAGTGAAGACCAAGATTTCGACTTTTAGGAGGTCGTATTTTTGCATTGGTGATTCAGGAGGAAGGTATTTGCATTTTTTCGGTGTTATCAAAGGAGGCGGCACCCGGCAAAGAGTAGAAGAAGATGTTCCCGGTAATTTGGCGCTCTGCTCTTTGACCGGAAGGAGCCCTTGACTGCAACCTTAAATTTTTGTGTTGACGAAAACTACCAATTGCTACGTTATTATAAACTATTTTTTAGACGCTTCTATTTATCTTCTTGATTTTCCCGCTTCTACGGTTTTGACTGAATTTTGGAGCCGGAATCAGGGTGGCCAGCCTCTGAATTTTTTTTGCTCCAGGCTGTCGCTTAGTTAGGTTTATCGAAGCTCTCTGTGGTAGCTTCTGAAAGCAAAAAAAATCCTGATTTGCTGCCTTCGCGGCACCGAAGCTCAGCCTTTGATGTCTTGCAATTTGCAAAATTGTTCCGCGCCAAATTGTTCTTTGCCGTTATGGTTTATCTTTTGCAATCAAATTTATTCAGTATATTAATGCAATATCCAGCACGTCACTCCTTACAGTCGAAACGCACTTCACTTGCCGCGATGTCACCACAGACCTAAAATAAAGCGTAGAAGTGGAATTTTTTTGGAAATAGGGATCTGAATTCCTTACCTTTACGTAGGTAGCCGTTTTGTAATCAGCGTTGTACTGAATATTCAGTTTTCCAGACGTGTCCAGGTCCAATTCGTAGCCCAAACTTCCGAATCTAGGCGGAAATGAATTTTTGCAAGCTAGACCTACGTGATACGATATTGAAAACTTTCGCATGGTGTGGTGATCGCAGGACCGAATTTCGTATCCGTGGTCTTGGCATCAACTCTCGAATTGAGGGGCTTGATATAAAAAATTCTGAACGCTACTTCTCGCGAATTAACACTTCATTGTTTGGGCGCAGCTTGTGGACGATGGCGAGTGGCATGTGTTTGTAGGTGGTCTCATCACAACTGTCCTGGTCGCTCAACACCACTCGGAATCTGTTGAAGCATGTTCCATAACAGTAAGATGAAACTTACTCCGTGGCTCTAGCTTTTACCGTCCCGTTGACTATCACCGTGCATTTGGGAACGCAATTTGGATCGAATGTCATTGCTAGAAAAAAATTTGGGTTGGCTGTTTGGCAAAAAATAATTAATCTTAACTTACTATGGATCCCCGAGTATTTGGTACAGTCTCCATTCTTAGGTGGGGCTGTGGAAGAGACAACAACTGGCCCATTTGGTGGTTTGGGCGTGAGGGTGGTTTTCGTCGTCGTGGTGGTAGTGGTTGTAGTGGTTGTAGTGGTTGTCGTTGTTGTAGTCGTAGTTGTCGTTGTAGTTGTTGTCGTTGTTGTTGTTGTCGTCGTCGGTGGTTCCGTCGCTGGTGGAGGTGGTGGTGGCGGAGGTGGGGGAGGTGGGGGAGGGGGCGGTGGAGGGGGAGGTGGTCGAGGTGGCGGTGCAGGGGCTTGATAGCGCTCTCCACAATTTGTGTAATATGGTCCTTGAAGGTATGAAAATCGAGCGCCTCCGGTGACACAGAGCTAAACACACACCAATAAACTTTCTACCACGATTTTTTATTGGCTAATAATTTCTCTAACAATTTTTGCGAATTACATTTTTAAGCCAGAGTCATTAGTCTTCAATTTGGTGCATTTCTTAGAAGATTTCGTGATGAACGGTTTCTCTAAGGGATTGCTTGGCTTCTCCAAAACTGACCGATGCCATCTCGAAATAATTCTGCCACGACCAGCCTGGAGGCTGTCGAAGGATCAGGGACGTCCGATGCCCAGTTCGATCGCTTATTGCAAAGCCGTATTCGGTAGCGGAGCGCTGCCTTCAATAAAAAATCTAGCCGTTAAGGGCAAAGGTACCAGAGCGAGACAGTCGTACTTGCGCATGGATTCGAATAAAAATGGACCCAACGGTTAGTACCGATCGCGGTTCCGTCCCAGTTCCAGAGTGGAAACCCGCCATATCCCTGAAAAAGCGCTTCAGGACCTATTACAATATTGATTAGAGTGTGTTGTGATTAGCTTCTGCACGTTTCTGATAATAATAATAATGTAAAATGCCTTGATAATGTCATAGCTCTATCCACATCTTATACCGTACCCGTTGACCCTTTTGGAAGTAAACAGCCTTTGTCCCCATATCGATCTCAACCTTCAACTCATTATTAGCAAAATCACATTGGTTGACAAGTCCGCGACTCCCGAAGGTGAACATTACCCTAAACCGATTAATTTTTGCATTGGTAATAACCTGGCAATATAGGGTTGAGTGAATTCCCAGACCAAACATTGTCCTGGACCCGGGGTCCTCACATTCCAAGATTGCGCGTGGACCTGAGCAAGAAATAAGAATCCGAGAGTCCAGTGTAGAATCATGGTTGTGGACTAGCGGCGGCCGCGAATTTTGGGTTTTTAGAGGTCGGTCTTTTTATTAGGGATTCAGAAGGCTGGTAGTTGGAATTTTTGCGGTATTTTCAAAGGCGTCGGCGTCGGGCAAAGAGAAGGACGAAGCTTTTGGGAGTGATTTTTGCGCTTTCCTTTTGACGAACCCGGAATTTTTCATAGAAAATTGAAATCCTTTTGAGAATGAAAATTTGTGGATTCTTGATCTAGCAATATTTCCTTAAAATTTTGATGTGCAGCCGGACCTTGCATGGTACTGGCTTCAGAGTATTTTCCATCTTACAACTTGTTATCCGCACGTCGATTCGAGATGAAACAGATTTCAGGATCCTGTCTTGAGCATTATTTTCGTGCTTTTCCACTTATCGAATATCGAAATAGAGTTGGGGAAGTGCGGAAGATGCAATCCGCTTATTGGATGCTTCTAGGGCGAAAGATCAACTGCGGCTCCATATGCCCCTATTGCACAAGATTTCTTTACAATTTTCCAACTTTCATCATCACCATCCCCACTTTTTCGACTCGATTGGCGAGTCCAGTCCAATACCACTGGGGCCAGAAAATTTTTTCGGGGACCCCCTATTTCGCGAAGCTTCACTGTTTGCACAAATGCGCCTGAATATATGCCGTCAACAGGGTAGTTCAACGTGGATTTTACCAAGATTTAGGGGAAATCACGTGGGATGGTGGAGGAAAGGAGAAACGAAGGAAACAAGGGTGGGGTGTAGCCTGTTTCCAGAGGCTGAGTACATGTTTTGTGATTTAGGAGTGGGGATGGGTGGTATGTGTATTCTTGCAATGGCTATTATGGATACGGATTGGATGAAAAAGCGGCTGGGGGAGGCGGGGAGTGAATTCTGTGGGAGCTTCGTCGGTAAATATAGGGGGAAGAACGGTCCAATTCTGTCATTTGCCATCCAATCATTCACAATCCATTTCGTGGGATGGGGATTATTCTATGGGTTTTGGCTTTAATATCTGGTAACCTAATTTAATTCTAATTCACAAGTATTTAATTAGTTGTCTACTCTCAACAATGCTCCAGCGGGCTAACGACTTTATATAACAACAATCAAATTGTCACTTGCAATCCGCAGGTTGGGTGCTGAACCCGGATTTTAGGGAACTTTTAGAGCTCAACATCATGCAGCCAATACCGTGCAGGGTATTTCTGTCAAATGGCGAGCACCGGAAACACTTTCATTTGTTGTGGAAGTCAATCTCAACGTAAGAGAAGCTTAGATACCTCGTGAAAACATGCTAACTTCTTAGAATGCGGCACCAACTCCCCGCAAATCGGCTCAAATGGCCAGATACAAACTTGCTCCACTGATACAAATTGTTTGAGCGGATACTCTTGTACATCTGGAGTTTGCTGCCCGTCTTCAAATACCGGTATGCAAAAGGTTCATTAAAATCTAGTTTCTGAATATTAGGCACCGTTCAAATCGGAGGCTACTGTACTGATACTGTCCAATGCTATGGTATGCAAATGTGTTAGTTTCCGGGGATTCAGAAGCTTTTAAGGAGGTTCCTCTTGCTTCAACCAACAATGTACCTGTCCCACCGGTACTACGAACACTAATGGACAATGCCTGAAGGGGAATAGCAACGGAAATTGCCAGAGCAACCAGGTAACTTTTTAAGATGGGATCGAAACATGTAAATATAGGTCCTGGTTAACGGAATCTGCTATCAAACGTCGTATCTCGGAGGCCAATGCACCTTTTCACAGCAATGCCCTACTAATGGACAATGCTCGAACAGCATCTGCAGCTGTATGAATGGGTATTAACAAGCTATAGTTGTCCAAAATTAATTTTAGTTACCAAAACCTAAATGGTCAGTGTACTTCTAATGGAAATAATGGCTGCCAGAACGGACAGGTTTTAAGCAAAATTTACACCACTAAAAATAAATTAAGGTCCTGGTCAACGGAATTTGCTACCAGACGTCCTATTTGGGAGGGCAATGTACCTTCTCGCAACAATGCCCTACAAACGGACAATGCTCGAATAGTATTTGCAGTTGTATGAATGGGTAAGCAAAGTTTAAAACTTGCCTAAAATGCACTCTCTAAGGTATCAAAACCTTAACGGACAATGCACTTCAAATGGAAACAATGGCTGCCAGAACGGACAGGTTTGAGCACGAGCTCTCTTTACATGAAAATTTCAGGTCTTGATCAACGGAATTTGCTACCAGACGTCCTATTTGGGAGGCCAATGTACCTTCTCGCAACAATGCCCGACGAATGGGCAATGCTCGAATAGCATTTGTAGTTGTATGTCGGGGTAAGGAAAACATTAAAGCTGGTGGCTCATGCTCCATTTTTTAGCTATCTCAATAACAACGGCCAATGTACCTACAACGGCGGGAGCTCGAACTGTCAGTTGGGACAGGTAACTCTGGTTTATTTAGCGTATTAAGTCATGAAACTCTTAGGTTCTTGTCAATGGCCAATGCATGTCGTACTCCTCTCCTGGAGCTTACTGTATTTCATCCACACAATGTCTTGAAGGTATCGTATGCCTTAAAAATTTAAAATCTATCAAAATCCAGGTGCTCAGTGCCAAAATTCGGTCTGTGTTTGCCAGAGCGGGAAAACGCAGCTGAATGGGTACTGTATCGCCTACAGTGGAGGCCCATGCTCTCAGACGCAGGTACAAATCAATTTGAATTTCATATATGAAACCTTTAGACCTATTACAACGGTCAATGCTACACCTATTCACTCCCTGGAGCTACCTGTAATGCCCCTACCCAATGTGTCGGAGGAGCCAACTGTACTTCGAGCGTATGGATGCGTAGCTTGACGTACAGTACCTTTTTCCAGCTCTGCCAATGCCAAATGGGGTACACCTCGATGTATGGCTACTGTATCGTGTCAAACAATAACAATGGAGTGACATGCCCGAGCGGACAGGTATATTGTAGAAAGAGCATGAAATAAAAAACGACCTACAGGTTGCCATCAGCGGTCAATGCTACAATATGGTCTCCCTCGGGGGATACTGTATCTACACCCAGCAATGCCAATCCGGAACTTGCCAAAATAATATTTGCACTAATAATGGGCAGAATGGATGTCAGACCGGGCAGGTGGGAACAACATGTCCAGCAAGTTCAGGGTCCCTAGGTGATGATCAACAACATTTGCTACAATCAAGTTCAACAAGGAGGATATTGTGTTTATACCCAGCAGTGTCTGCAAGGCATAATTTAATAGAAACTAAAACATTCGATATTTAGGTTCTTGTCAAAACAATATCTGCCAGGGAAGTAGCAGTTCATGCGGGGTCAACAAGGTCAGAATTTAGCAAAATTAAAAGTAAACAATATAATTTAGGTCCTAATCAATAACCTCTGCTACGATCAAGTATCGATTGGAAACAGCTGCTCCTTTACACAGCAGTGTCTAGGTATCAGAGCAAGATAACGACGCATTAATGGCTTTTAGGAGGCTCCACCTGCACAAACGGCTTCTGCCAATGCCCTATGAACTCGCAGAATATCAATGGATACTGTAATTATAACAATGGGACTGGTTCTAACTGCCAATCTTACCAGGTAGGTTAGTACCACCCTTGAAAACTATTTTTGTAGGTCTACGTTAACAACCAGTGCTATTCGAAGATGCCGATCACTTCGACGTGTACGATTACGCAGCAGTGCCCTACAGGTACCCTAAAAACATATTACTTATTTAGTTGATCCAAATCTAGGTTCCGCATGCACTAATGGAAGGTGCCAATGCAACTCCGGAACGACGTATGATGGTACTCAGTGCTCGACAGGGATTATGACTTGCGGAACTGGTTATGTGTAAGCTTAAAGGATAGATATAAAAAATTGTAGTAGATCATTATTTAAAAACACTTTAGCTCGTACTCCGGACAATGCCGTGCCCTCCGTTCGCTTGGGCAAAGCTGCTCGGTGAACCAGGAGTGTCTAGCGTTTGCGCAGGTAATAATTGTCATAGTTTCTGATTCAAATCAACCAAGATTACCTTTATAATATAATTTTAAAATGCTTTTATGTAAATTACAAGTTTTGCGGCCATTAATATGCGAATTTAGTGCCAAAACTCAATGTGCAACTGCGCCACCGGCAGCCAATTGGACACCAACCAAGTTTGCAGGGCGCAATCGCAGGTACGGGATGAAAATTTGCATAAATTAGCATAAATTGCAAATATTTACATAATTTGCATAAATCAAAGCAGTCAAGTGCATTTTTCCTAGTTAATTTCTTATCTGAATTACAATTTTCAGAACAGCCAATGCGGCACCAACGCCGTTTTGATCAATAATCAATGCTACCCGACAGCATATGTTGGCGGGAGCTGCCAGTTTACACAGGTATTTTCAGAAGCTAATTAGCATAAAAAAATATAAAGTAATTAGAATAATTATAGTAGATTTGTAAAATACAATTTTAGCAATGCCTCGGCAACTCGCAATGTAGCAACTTCCTCTGCCAATGCCCGAGCGGGACTACAAACTCCGGCGGAACGTGCACTAATGGAGGCTGTAAGTAGCTGATTTGCATAATTCCAATTTGGCTGTGTTTTAGCAAGTGGCCAGTATACCTGCTCGAAAACGAACTATTACGCTCCACTCCAAAATGGGCAACCCATCAATTGTCTATTCAATTATTGCCCAGATCAGTATAACAGCATCTGCGAGTATAATTACCAGGTATGCAAATTTGGTATTTAAATTTACGTTAAAACCCAGCCTTGTAATTTTTTTGAAATTCGTAATGTCCATTTCTAGGTGCAATATTACATCTGCTGCACCAGCTCCTCCAGCTCCGGCAAATAAACCCGCCGGCCGCCATCTAATAAACTTGTTATCGCCTGATTTGCTTCCCCAAAAAATGTCTGAATAATAATAATGCAGAATTTATCGATGTCACCAAGAAATAATTCACCACAAATGCAACCACTTTCTAAACCAAAGTCATATCGAAAATACACCGAAAAGCTCTTAGCCGGAAATTTGCATATTCGTAAGAATGGAGCGACCAGGAATCCGAAAATATTTTTTAGTTGGATTATTATTGCTTGGAAAATTGCGAAGAAATCCAAAATCTTGATATTTTAACTTGCAAAATAAAAAAAAGACACAAATATTAAAGGGACGGTTTTCCCGGAAGACAAATACCAGTTCAGATTAACAAATTTGAATTTTTAAAGTATTTTTAAGCAATAAGATTGTTTTTAAAAATCTAGAAATTTTTTAAGTACAGGATTTTCAACCGTAAGCTCAACAGCTGAAGAAATATTCGTAAATGAAATAAAAACTATTGACTAAAGATTTGACTAGATATGCTATCCGTAATCGCGGTGCAGTTTGTAGTTTGTAGTTTATAACGGGCGATCCATTTTCATGAAGTATATTGACCAATATCTGGAATTTTTGGGCTTTATGCTAATTTAAGGAAACTTACGCAACATTGAAGAACAAAAATGACAATGGGAACATAATCATTGAGCATCGGTCGACCTGGACAATGGAAATCAATCGGTTTTTTGATTTATTATGTAAATTTTGGAATTTCAAATTGTTTTATGCAAATTACCTGTACACTCGTAACCGTCCAGTCGCGGTCTGGCGGGCAAAACACATAAAATAGCCGCTGCACGGCCTTCCGAAATTCGCGTTTCTTCTTGGTGGGCCGAATGTCGAACTCCGGGTCCTCGTTGCCCTAATTGGAATAAAAAATTAGAATATGTAAATTTACATTTTCAATAAGCTTATTATTGGCAGCGATTGGCGGCGGGGTGAAGGTGGGTTGGACGGTGTGGAGTTGGTTGTCTTTCGGCTAAAAAAACACGTTTTTACTAATTTACATGTAACCTTAGTTTTCAATCGATTACGCTATGTAAATGCGAACGTGCGCGTTGCGTGTGACATCAGAAAATTTAATATGCAAATTTTCGGTTTTCCAGACGTCTAGTACAAAGTTCACCACCACTTGTGGTTGAACCCCCCATTGCAACACCCTCACTTCAAAATTCATGCTCATAAACTATGGTCGACCTGTTCCGGCTCCTTCTCCTTCTCCTTCTCCTTGTCCTTGTTTCCGCCTCCAAACCCTAGCAGCCGTTTCCGAAGTCCTCCACCACTTTCGTTGCCGCCGTTCGCCGGCTTTGTGTCTTTTCTTGTCTTTCTAAACCCCGAAAATCTACATAAAAAGTTGGAATACGTACCTGATTTGGTTCAGCCAATGGCCAAGGACTTTCGAACCGATCTGTCGCTCTCTTTCCCAACTGAAAAATGTTAGAACTTGAGCATGAACTCCTTGAAATTACCGATTCAATTGGCACACAATGGCCAACTCCACCAACGTCATGAAGATGAAAATCACGGAGAAAATCATCCACACGTCAAGGCACTGAAAACTTTTTAAATTATTCATGACCGCCGGATTTTTGCTGCTCCCCGGTTTGGGCAAAGTTCACGGGAAGATGTGGGGGGTTCCGAGTAGCATTGTGGGAGTTCCGTTTCGAGCGTTTTTGCGGGGGAAGCTTAGCGCAGAATAGGGGAGAAGCCCTTGAATTGGATGAATGCCGGGGGGTTCAAAAGGATGGCAGGGGGAGAAGGAGGTGAGGAAGAGCTTTGAGTATACCTTGATATAGCTGACACGCGGAAGATGGCGAAGGACGTTGCCGAATTGGAAAGTCAGGGCGAGGAGGGATGAAACGCCGAGGGTAATTCTGGAAAACAAATGTGTAAATTAAAAAGTTGAGCGGCGCTTTGAGCCTCGTGCTCATCGTGTGTTTATCTCTCTCCCTCGTTCTCCCTCGCTCTTTTTTAGCCATTTTGAGTTTTCATGCTTTTCCCTAACCAGAAAACATTTCCCTTAACAAGCCTAGGTGCTATACGACACCGAAAATCGTGACACCCTGCTAATACTACATTTTCTCCACCCCTTATCCTCCCTCTTGCTCATCTCCAATTGCTCCCACCTTGCCGAAACACTCCTAACATCGAAGAAAAAGCCGACCCAGCTCGAGATCACCGTCAAGCTCGTCGGGAAATAAGATTGGAAAAGGTAGAACCCGTATCGCCGCGCAAACACAAATTTCACCTAAATTCAGTTGCTTAAAGGACTTTTCATTTTTCCATACATTAGCTCGATCCCAAATTCCGTTCGGATACTCCAGCCGAGCATGATCCGTCGACCAGCCGGTCATTTCAAAGTCGGGCAGCTCGATTTTTTCCATTATTGTGACCGGCGTGTCATGCCATAACAACCGGACCTCGTCGGAATTGAAGGAATATGATTCTAAGACCACCTAAAATAAAAAATCTATATGAAAAGTAATCTAATTCATACCTCACAACTCAACGAGTCAAAAGGGAACATTTCGAGGTTGACTTTGCATGGGGCTTGGGCGTGTAACCTGAAAAAGTAATAGAAAATCATGTATGTTTAGCTTGGGTTTCGGCGTAGGCTTAGGTTTAAGTTAGGCTTAGGCTTTGGCCTAGGCTTAGGCTTAGGCTTGGCTTTAGCTTAGGCTTAGGCCTAGGCTTTGGCTTAGGTCTGGTTTTTCATCAATTTTGACACGTTGATTTCTATTTACTTTTTTTTACGGTTCCCTGTTTCTCTTCCCCTCCAGCTTTTCCCAGTATGAGGCGAAGTGTCAAAACGGAGGAATTGCGGCCAGCACTTTTTGCCCCCGATTGGCTGGAGTGGAGGATCAGGCGGGGAATGAGCCTTTTTGTCGGGGAGATCAATTAATCATTTCGGTCTGCGGGCCACGGCTTTCGGAGGGGGGAGCCGGAGTGTAATGTACAAGGTGTCACAATAAAAACGTAGATGACCGATGTGCTTTTGGGTGGTTTTTGCGGGTAATTGGGGAGATCGTGGCGGGATCTTTTTTGTGGGGAATTAAGCGATTGTAATTAGTCAATCTGTGTAGTCTAAAATCAGTGAAATTTTCAATAAAAACATCTCAAATAAATCCACTAACCGGTTTCGTCATAGATTTTAATCTTGTTAAAGGTCCGGAGAAGGCTAAGATATTGATTTTTCGGTATATAACGAAGTATAGTATTCGAAACTCGACGCTTGACCGCCTTGAAGTCGTCGTAATCAATTACGACAGGAAAAGTGGGTTTACGCGTTACGTGTCAGCAAATTTTATATGGCTTTCAAAGCTTACAAACTCAATAGCTAAATTTTCTTGTCACATAATTTCGTCTTTTTTTATTAGCAAATTTTCCGTATGCAAATTATTGCCTCTCAATATCCGGGTTTTGGCTTTTTCAAATTCAATTTTTTTTGCTTCAAAACAACCACTAGAGCCCAAAAGTCACCGCAGCCAACCCGTTCACTGCTTCCCCGAAAACCTTTTATGCCGCTTTTTAGCAAACTGAATGGCCACCCGACCACAAAACCCCCGTCCTGGCCTAGAAGCTGCACCTTTTTCGCACCCCTGATCGCCGCCCGGGGCCCTGCCAAATTGGCACTTTTCACGCAATTCCCCCCAGCAGGTATGCCCGCCAAAGAATTGAGTTGTTGCGCCTCGTGTCCTGGCCAGGGCGAAAAAGGGAGCACCACCACCTCGAACTCACCGAAAATTACTCCAGACCAGCCCGTTCTCGTAGAGGATTACGAATGTGTTCTCGGAGGGTGAGCTGTGGATGTGGGAGCTTTTGCTAAAATTTGGGCAATCTACAGTACACCCTAGTCTCACCTATTAATTATACACGTATCTGGGGTCCAGATTTTCTTCCGAAAATCACTTTTTAAGGTGATATTGGTTGTGCAGACATTTAAATGCTAAATTTTAACTTAGAGGTTTATCTTGATGGTTTTTTACCTTAAACGACAACCTCGGATCCTCCCAAATCTCACTATACATCACGTCCAACGAGAAGTCGGCCGTGATCTCCGAGATCTTGGAGATGCTCTGCAAAACAAGCGTCTTTTTGCGGGGGTCTCCGGCCGGCTATTTCCGGCTATTTTTTCCGGACCACCCAGCGTCTCGGCGGGCCGATAAGTTATTCATGTGGCGGTTATCAATTTGGGTACCCTGGGGAGGTGATGTTGGAAAAGTGGCAAAAAATGAGGAGGAGTGATGGCGCGAGGTCGAGAATGGCCTGGCTGCACAATTGATGGGGGATAATTTTTAAGGATTTTTGAGTGGCGGTGACGGGGGTTTGAAATATGGAGGAAGTGTGAGAGAGAGAGAGAGAGAGAGAGAGAGAGAGTGAGAGAGGGCGCGAGAATTACCTGTACATGCAATTCCATCGTAACATTAACACCCTCGGCATGTGGCAGTAGATGCACATCATAATCAGTGAGTAACGTGTCGATCAACTTCCCGAGGTTGATGCTATTCCTGGTACAGCGGCTCTCGCCGACCACGGCGCCATGCGCAAGCCGCAATACCAGAACAGCTAGCAGGTATCTGCAAAAAACTGCAAATTACGAGATTTCCGTTACGCAACAAATTACAACCCTTCACATGAAACCCGTGCCCAGCTCTATCATATCCACGTGAATAATCTTTTTCCAGACCCCCAGCTTCGACCACTAGGCGCCCCGTTTCCGTGTTTCCGTAAGAAGAATTAGGCGCCAAATTGGGCGAGCAAAACGACCGATGTTCTCTGGGAGCGCTGGGCAGCCCCCAACGTGCAAATTTTCGGGCAAACAGCTGTACTTGTCGAAGATGTTTTGGGTTTTTGACCATAGCTAGATTTCAAACCTGAAGAAAGTCATGTCGTCGTCATTCCGCTGGAGGAGCTGAAACCGCGACTTCCGCTCGGCCCTCTCCGATTTCCCCTCCTCCGCGTGGTTTCTGAAAGCTTGGTTGGTTAGTGTATATTTTTTTCTGGTGTTCAGAGGATCGGAGCGGAACGGAAAGGCAAAAATAGGAAAATAGATGAAATAGGCTACAGCGGAAAATTAGGATTTTTAAGGTATCGTATTTTAATTCACTAGGGAGTTGATCGTTAGACAAATCCAAAAATATTATGGAAAAGAAAAAGTTGATGCTCAACTCCCTCCAGACGCCACAACGGCATTACCAGGAATAAGAAAAACGGGAGGAAATCCAGAGGGAAATCTGGCCTGACAGCCCCGAATAATAACCCAAAAATGACCCGTTCTTGGGAAATAAAGATCAAAGAACTTTCTGGACGAGAGGAGGATGACCTAAAGAAGAGCTAGAAGAAAGCTATAAAATACTGCAACATCGCCGACCCAGCCAACAAATTGCCCTGCAAAACCTCGACTCGAACCCCCACCCTCAATTAATATAATAACAAAGTTTTGGCCCAAGAACTCGAAGACGTGACCGAATCACATGACATGGATGGGTAAGATAGAGACGGGGTGTGTGAGAATTCTCGAATTTTGTTTGAATGATAGGGGGGTAGGTGAGAAGAGAAATAGAGAGCTTCTAAAGGGCTCCTCCTAGGCGAGGCAAATCGAGTCAGACGCCTCGGGGGTCTCGAGGGCGGGTTAGGGGTTTTGAATGGAAATGCCAGAGAACGGGTTGATCGGATGGACTTGTAGACATTGTGTGTTGCGCACGAGTGGGGGTTTTAGGAAATTTTAAAAACGTTTTTGGAAGTTTCAAGGGGAGTTTACGGAAAACGCGAAACTCGGAAAACTCGGCGTTGTCATGTACACAATCGAAATGCGGATCTAAGTTTCTGAAGTAGATTTTCGTGAATTTAAATGTTTTAGAATTTTTTCATAACGCTAGCTTGACAATAAATCGCAAAAAAGCATGTCTGCGTTTCAACAATTTCTAAAGTTCACGAAAAGGATCGAAAAACGGTTTTTAAAAATTGGAAACTAGGGTTCCTGGTTTTGAAATTTGAATTAACATACTTTTTAAATCAATTTTCATCCTAAAAACCCTTCTAAATTCCGCAAAGCACCTCAAAACCGCGAAAAACACATCAAAAATACGTAGGTGTAAGAGCTTTAGCCCTACCCTGAGAAACCACTTATAACCGACCGACCTCTCATTGAAACTCAAAAAGGCAAGTCCCCCGAAAAGCACCTAAAACGCGCCCCTGGACAAAAATAAGACAATAGACATCATCTTAAAACGACATCGAATTCGGCAAATCCTCGCAACTTGATGATACGACTCAGGAAGCGTTCTTGCTCTTTTTGGAATTATAGAACTCTCCTCAAAAGTTTTAAAACCCGATTTCCGGATTTGGAGAGCGACACAGCGTTTCCGGGAACCTCTTTATCCCCCAGGAATTCCTCACCCAACCAAATTATTAATAAAGAAACGGGCTACCTGCCTGGTCTAGCCCTATTCCTGGACCTCCCAAAAATCATAAACCGCCGCACCTCGTAGGGAAATTATAGAGGAACGTATCTCTCGAGGGATGGGGCGCTGTATTTCTAGGAATGATTTATTCTTTTTTGAGGGCCCCCGGAAAAACGTGGTAGCTCGATTAAGGATGGTTGTTTTTAATGGACCCCAGGGATTTTTGGGGGAAGAGAAGGATATGGCCGCGGGGGAATGGGAAAAAGGTGTGAATTCGGGGAATGTAACTTCCGTGACGGGAGATCGAGTTGTTAAGGGGCCAATCGGGAGTTATTTGAAGTCTCAGGGGACTAAAAAAACAGAATTAAGAAAATAGAGACAACAGATGAAATATAGCAAAGACGTACATACTGTATTTAAATGCATTTTAAAAATTAGGTGCAGCCTGAGTCGAGGTCTAAGTCTATTAAAGGAACTGACAAGGGTATTGAATTTTTGGATATGGATTTTTGGCTTTGAATATGGCTATTGCGCCGCGACACGCGACGTGCAAACCCGTATTTCCCTTGCGTAATGGAATACGACATTTTTTTCGCGGCCAAATTATGCGTTACGCCTGTGTTGCACAGCGGCCCGGCTCCTAATAAAACGTCCGGTAGCTTTGGAGAAGGAGACCGCAAGCGTGGAAGACCGTCGCGCAATTGCGAAAGCAGGCCTGCGCAGCTAAAAACCGGTTCCTATTCCGCGCACCCGCACGCAACGCGCGAAAAACACGCACCGTACGCCCTTTCCCTTGAACCATCTGGACCGAACCCATGGGCGGTTGTGGTTGTGTGCTGCGGGCACGGAAAAATCCAAAACAAATCCATAGCGAATAAACCCTTAATCATGCCTTGCCGTCGCCTTTAAACGACAAATTATGGTATATACAGTTGATTCTATTAAAAAACTACTAGAACTAAATTAAACCAAAGAATATTAGTTGTTTTCTCACCGGGGGAATCCATATATTTCGGCTAGTTGATAGGCCAACCAGCAGCGTCATACATAATCCAGGGCCCCCTCACCCCCCTTCAACCATTCAAAAGCCTTTTCAGGACACTTAGGAGCCGCGCCGGGAAAGGGTCAGAAACAATTTTAGCCGTCTCTCCCGGCTGCCCGTTTTGGGTTCTATGGGCTGCGCGGGCTCAGGCAAACAAGCTGTCTATTATAAAAATGGTTTAAATTAAAATTTGGGAGGAGCGGAAGTCGGTCCAGGGGAGGGGTTCTAAAAAAGGAAGCTGTCTGGGGGGTGAAAAGCAATTTTGGGGGTGGAGTTTGGCGTGTAGGGTAGGGGACAAGGCCTGACCAGAGCTGCAAGGAAACGAAAATTTTTTATGAGATATATTAAAGCATTTAGAGGTTTTCTGATACCTAAAGATACGAAAAAATACACCTAAAATTTAAGGAAGGTAAATGAAGTCCGAAACCTGATGCTGATGTCTCTTAAAACCACCCTCCCATTCCGCACGTATCGTAATAACACTACCCCCAATACAAAAAGCAACCACATACGTTTTTGAGCCTTCTTAGCGTGATTTCTTTGCCTCGTGCAATTCCGGAAAAAGGAGGGCTTGGAGACCAATTAAGCGGGAAGACGAGAACGGGCACGGGACTCCCGGCCGGGGTTGGAAGCGACGGGGCGGAGCAGGACGGATTCTATTCGGATTCCCAAGGCTCTCTCTCGCACTAATAAATAATCATCAAGGGCTGGGGCGGGGGGGGTAGAGGCCATCCTATTCATTGGTTCAAATTGATTCAGAAAGGAAGTTTTTCGCTTCGGAGGGCTTGCGGCCAAGGGGGGTCGGGGAGATCGAGCAGGGCAGGATTTGAGGGGTGAAATTGGGGGAGGAGTTGCGAAAAATGTCTATGAAAAATACACTTCAAAGAAGAAGAATTTTTAAAAGCAGAAATTTGAGACCTACCTTCCTCCACTTTTTGAAGATGCCAATTTGGCATATTGTATTTTATTTTCATAGACCGTTCGGCCCTGAAATTCTTCTAATTCTCGATTCAAAAATTTAAAAACTTTTTATCATCTCAAACACAAATTCCACGATCTCGAACCTGTCTTGCTAATCCCTTAAAATGAAAAGACCGTAAGTACGATTTTTTACATGATATCGCCTTTAAAAACCTAAAAAACGACAGTTATAAATAAAAAAAGACAAAATACAGATATTATCTTAAAGACCAGTTTTCTATTGCCTTCTCAATCCAGAAAAATAAGAGGATCCCCGACAGCTTAAAAAAACAGAGAAAAAGCCGAAACTTTGCCTTCCAGGTTCCTTTAAAAGGGCGTGGCCTCAAAGAAACTCCTAGTTTTTCAACAACCCTGTTAAACACTTAATACCCCTTAACAAATACCCCCCTGGCCGCGACACCACCTGGGATCGGGTGACAAAAAGACAAAAAGTTGAGGCCCCCCGGCCGGAAAGTTCGGCGGAACCAGGTGCCCTCAAGGCACTGGCTCCCCCTCAGACTCCTCAGTAGGGGAGGAGGAGAAACAGAAAGCGAAGAAGATAGTGGGCAGGGCAGAGATGTGCGTGTCAGATTGCCACTTTTGCTCGGGCTCCCCTGGTGGGCCCCTGTCTTTTCGGGGAGGGCCGAACCGACAAGGAAAAGCACCGGGAAATCCGGGCATTATGCTTTGAGACGGAGGGCACATATGACATGGGGAATCCTTTTAGGAATGGGGAGCATAAGATGGAGGGAGACGTTGGAGGCTAGGATGTAGTCATTAATGTGAAAATGGGTTAAATAGGTGGCGTGTAATGTGAAAAGAAATACATCAGTTCCAACCTTGCCTTCCCGGTGCCCTTAAAGGAGCATGAGCTCAAAATAAACACCAAGAAGCGTTTCAAGTGCGTTTCACGGCAGAATGTGTAGCGTGAAATTTGGAAACCAAATATATACATAGAAATTTTGCCTTGCCAGGCCCTTTAAAAAGGGGCGCAGTTGCAAAAATAAAGCGGAAAAATTTTAAAAAGGTGTTAAGGTGTCTGAAAAACTGGGAGATTGCCAGTAATGTTGAAATAAACAAGGATTACGTGTAGAAATATTCGGAAACCTGACCTGAAAAAAATCTTGCCTTCCCAGCCCCTTTAAATGGGCGTGGTCTCAACTGCACGGGCGGAATCTGTTTAGAAAAATCTTAAATGGTTTTAAGAGCCAGGGCCTAGTCAGTCATGCGCCCCCCCCCAAAAAAAACAGCTCCAGAAAAATTCAGATGCAAAGTCCAACACTAAAAACGAGCACACTTTACCACAAAACCCCCCAGAACACCAAGATCGGAAATAAATTATACCTCACCTCTCCGCTCTCCCGGAGAACATGCTAATTTGAATAATGCTGACGACGTTTTTGCTTCCGATCCCCTTTTGCTCTCGACGAGACGTCTAGGTGAGAGCATTCCCTATTCATGAATAGCCATGAGCGGTGAGTT